CCCCTCTGGTCTCCTTCTTTTTCAAATTCCTGGATCCGCCACTGTATTTTGAAAATGTAGTGTGGAAATATATGCTAATTGCATTCCTTAAAATCAATTAGGATACGACTTATAAAAGGCTATAGACGTCAGAGCTTCGGGGGCTTCCTTCCCTGGACCTCCACCGGGGACCCTGGGCCAATACTTCCTTATTTTGCAATTCAACTCGTCCCCCCCCCCACCCCACTTTTAACCACGGACGACGCCATTACGGCAAGGTCTGGAAATCTAAATTACATTTTGTTCTGTGTTGTGTATATTTATGTGTTATGATAAGAACAGTAAATAAAAATCGGTTTGTTGGAGGAAAGGTTATCATAGTTGATAATATACTAATCAAATACAGTATACCTATGCTATATAAGCCTAAATGTCGAAATAATTAAATAAAGGTTCTATCTAACAAATATTCATTCCATTTTGTTTCTGCTAACACAACGCTCTTTACGATCAATAAAGGTAACAAACTGTACCTTTAAAATCGATAAACTTTAGCAACGTCTATTGTATCACCTTGTTTCGGTGGTCTAAATGTACACTCGATACAGAAACTCAACTCTTTTCTCAACTCTATTCTATGACATTATCGCTGTTATTTCGATGTGAATTTCCGTCAGGATAGTATCATAGGAGCGTTGTTTTGCTCTACCTAAGGTATCGTACCGAATACTCAGTAGACCTACGTTCCCAAATACTTTGCGAAAATAAAAATTCGCAAGTGATTCGAGTGGGAATCGAACCCACGACCATCAGATAACAGCCTGGTGCCATAAACACTAAAGCTTGTGCTGTGACCTAGAATCAGATCCCCACGTAGTAGCGGGTACTGCAAATGCGATTTCGATGTGAGTTTGCGTCAGGAGAATATCATAGGAGTGAGGTTTTGCCCTACCTGACTTGTTATCTTACCGAATACTCAGTACGTTCCAAACCCAAATACTTGCTTTAAAAAAATCGAAAGTCATTCAGATGGGAATTGAACCCAAGACCTCCAGATAGCCTGTCGCCATAACCACCAGACTAGTGTTCAATCCGATACCCAAGTAGCAGTGGGTACTGCAAATGTTATTTCGATGTGAGTTTGGGTCAGGAGAATACCAGGCAGGGGCGGATCCAGAGATGTCCAAAAGAAGGTGGGGAGAGGGACGGAAATGGGGCCGATCGAGATAATACCAACCTAGGGGGTCCGAGGGCATGCCCCTGCGAAATTTTTGTGTTCTAGACGTCCGAAAATAAACTCTGGGTCGTTTTGGGCGATTAATTATTTTCTTTTTCTTTCTCTCTTTTTCATATTTTTTTACCTTCCAAAAAGAGGGGGGTGGGGGACGGGGCGGGACCGGCCCGCCCCTAAATCCGCCCCTGATAGGAGTGATGGTTTGCCCTACATGACGTGTATTGCTCTACCTAGCTGTATCGGTATTGTTATAAGTATTGTCATTATCGTACTTACCTGCATTGGGTCTATCTTATCACTGTTCTTTTTCGTGTAAGGCCTATGGTATTTTTTAGTTGTAGGCCTATTAGGTTATTATCACCATTAAGTATTATCAAGATCATCATCGTTATCACTATTTCAATCGGCATTATCATCGGCATTATCATCTTCATCATCATCATCATCATCATCATCATCATCATCAGCAACAACAACAACAACAACGACTTTCTGATTGCAATAAAGATTATATGAACATGAACCATCATCAATATTTTAGTATTTATTATCAATATTATTTGAAGCATTGTTTAATTTTAACAGTAATGGAATCGCCTGCTGTGATTCTACACTCAGGGGGTAGGGCTGGCAAATCAGGGGAGGGGGTGGCAATTAATATGCGATGTATCCACAAACATCATATTACAACACAATAATAAAAAGCAATTACCATTGACCCATCTTCATTTTTATTGTGTGGGTCTGCGGTATTGCTTAAAGTTTTGACTACACAGGAGAATGTCAGTCAGGCACAAGTTTTTAAAAAACTTGTTAATTCGCTATTGTGTCCGATGAACTATTCTCCGTGTAAACTAGGCTTAGCAGATGGATTTGTCTTCGCTACGTTGGTTCCTCTCTAATACGCCACCAATGCGTGTTTAATGCGTTGATCCTTTGGCTGGTTTAACAAACAGCAAACAAGTTTTGTGATGGAATGGTGCGAATGTAATGAAGCAAAGAAAGTCGTGTAGAAGTAAGATAAAACCGAATTTGTGATTTACAGACGGGGACATTCGGTACTCAGGATTTCCCCCGCATCAGTTCTAAGACACCGACTTTTTTTCTGATATTCTGTAGGCCTATTTAATTTAACTTTTTAAAGGATCTACATATGCAGGTTCGTCTGAAGGTACGTATTCATCGCCTGCTAGGATACCATTCTTGAGAAAATTAGGCTTAAAATGTACATAGCTTTAGCTCTGAATGTTATGTAGGCCTATATCTTCTTTTTATTATTGTTGGGGTTGTTAAGGCTTTATTGTTGCCTGAATCCCATTTACTTTAAAATAGTTTAACTCGCCTTTCCAAATCGATTGAACTCCCGGAGATCAATAAACGAGTCAGTACTTTAGTAGGCCTACTGGTTTTTGTTTTAAACAGGGTAAAGATGGGATAAATGCCAAAACCGTAAATTTATTTGAATAATAATTTGTATCGGAAGCTCTTTGATGTAAGGCGAGGTGTTGGTGTAATATACCAATTATGGCGACAAGTGTGACATAGTGCTAAGTATGTGTTTGTTCATCATTAGTAGTAATCTAAGGTATTTTATGAGCGTTTTGGAATGCAGGTCCTTTTCTGTCGCTATGTTCTGATACTTAAGTACAATCTATTTTTAAACTATATAGAAATCCCACGAAGACCCCCACATGTTTGTTTTGAATCCTATTTTATAAAATTCTTTCAGGACACGCCTAGTATCGACGAGAGGTTTCCGAAAAGAAACACGATAGGGCTTAAGATGCGAATGGAAATTATACTAACTTTTATGTAATGGAACAGTAGTTAAATGATGAAAATGCTTTTCTTCCAATCCCAGGTCAGGGTTCAAATCATGTTACATGATTTTTTCCGACGACTAAAACAACCCCAATTATTAAGCCACGTAAAGAAACATGTCTATAGCACATCATTCCTTCTTGTTAATTGGACAAGTACCCGCATACTTTTAGACGTGAAGAAAAATAATTTTCTTGTGGCAACTAATTATTTCTGTCCACTCATATAAGAATATATTTTGTTATTTAGAGGACAACATAAAACCACAAATAAACATTAGCACAAAGTCATTACGAAATCATCTATAATCTCTCGTTGCAAAGAAAAGGGAGATATGTGAGCAAACATAGGACTAATTTTCTTTAGAAAAATTGGGAATATGTCCGATTAATATATAACATTTCTGTTCGTTTAAAGCCAGACTCCAGTTTGTACAACTGATTTTATTTAATAAAATGTGTTTGACAAAAGCCGTTGATTGAGATACAGATTTTTGAATATTTAAAAACTGGGGTAATGAGATAGAACAAAGGGTTGTTACGCCCTTTCCCCCAGTTTTTAAATCTGTATCTCACCAACCATTCCAGAATTGTTCGTAAAATACGCCTGCCTTAGAAAAATCAGTTATACAACATATCAATTTTTTCCATCTGGGCCTGGCTTTAATATATTAAATAATATATATTAACATACATTATTTACCCATTGCAAGACAACATTTATCTAATTGAGTTGTTCTACCAGATGAGGTATGAACGGCCTTGGTAATCTCCGTTTGATATCCGCATTGAGGAAGACATTATTTTAACAAAGCACTGTACTCGCAATTAATAAACTAAATTTAGTGAAAAGTGATACATATTCTGTATTAGGCCTATTATTATTTACAGAAAACCGTAGTGATCATGTTTTGAACAATAGTGTATATAACAGTATTTAATACAGGGCCTGGACCTAACATCAAGATTTGAATCACTAAAGCCACAAACAAACAAAAGTCCCAAACAAACTCAGTGGTCTGCTAAGTAAAATACTTTGTTGAAAGTCCAGATAATATACAATGAGTAGAGTTAAGTACAGCAGTACTAACACTAGAGTACTAAATCTCATCTGATAGTGTTATTGTCTTCAGATTTGGAACTTCAATGATCTTGTCATGTGCACATACCGTCTGCAACAATGGCTGTTATATATCCGATAGACAAAAATAAGAAAGCTAATGTCCGCTAATCGTACTAACTATCTGTCCGTAGGCCTATCACGGGTGGGAATCGGATCATCAGAAACGTAACCGTTTAAAGTGTGAATACGTACATTGTAATAAACAATGCAGAAAAACATTAAGAATAATAAGAAATAGCTCTATAGTCAAAGGAAATGTAATGTTAAAATAAATCACAAACATGTGATATGCTTTTAAAATTGAGGATCGCGACCTACAAATGGGCCGCAAATAATTGTCAGTGGGTCGTGGAAACGTCCCTGTTATGAAAATAATCATGTTATTTCTGTCACTTCTGTCACAGAATAAAAAAGGATCCGTAAATAATTTAATAGTGGTTAAACTAGTTCACTATTGTTACTATACTTTATACAACACAATATTAGTAAAACCACTCGACTCTCAACCACGTCCCCCCCCCCCGTCAGTCATCAGACAGTCAAACGCAGCTTACACCTCATGGAAATTGTTATTCTTGTGTATGATGTCATCTGCATAGACTTATCGTGACGTCGTTGTCATGTGACAGTGTATTTGCATTGGAAAATATATCAGAATGGTAATATTGTAAATAATGTTCAAATTTCATAAATACCCGTACGTATCTATAAAGAATATTTAAACGGTATACAATTTATATAATTGTGTTACCTAATATTTCCACTTTGTTAGTTGTTCAGAGAATCCCCATAATTCTAGGAATTCTGGAATTATTCAAACAAGATCGTCACCTGTATTTTCCTCATTCTTACGGCAGTTCAGTTGCCGTTAACAGAATGTAGAAGTGATAGGGTTGTTTTGAAATGTTTTGTTTTTGCTGTAGGCCTAGTAACTGTACATTGTAATGTTACTGTGGGTTTATACATGAAGCTTTAGCTGAACAAAGGAGAGTAGTATCGTTTACTATAAACATAGCGGTATCAGATATAGATAGCAGGTACTTATTGTTCTTTCGCTAAACGTCAAGTGGTCCTGTCATTTGAAATTCAACTCAACGTACTCGCCCTAAAATCATATGTAAGTAAACATCTAGCCACCAATGGATGTCTGGTAGATCGAAGGCCTAAATGTTATTAGCAAGGTTACACCAGGATTAAATTTGTTTTTGCACACAAGAGCTGTTTTCTGATTTTTTGTGTGTAAAGGTCACTGTTGCAACAGTGTACTAAAAACAATATTACGACTCTATGTAAAGGTTTGTAGACCATAGTATAACGGTCTTCGGTACATACCTAGTGGCAGATCAAGATTTACTTTGCAGGGGTGGTGAGTGCCAGTCGAGGTCTAGAAAAGGGCCTTACACTATGGTCGAAAGGTGAAGTTTTGGGGGTTTTCTTGAGCTTTTGTGGGTCTAGGGGCTATTCCACTGGCAGCTTTGAAGTTTTAGCCATTTCAGTCTCTTAAATGATTTGACACTTGGCAGCGAGCGCCCCTTTTGCCACCCCTTGGATCCGGTAATGAATAAAAAATCTTAATTATTTGTTTTAATATTTACTAACTTATTTCTTAATTCACCCTACAGCACAGTTCTTGATTGTTGAAACATAATAGATGTTAGTGAAAACTAACATCTATTATTGATTACTGTATTATTTTTTCCTTTTCAGAACTAGGATGGAGGGAACTGTAATAAAAATATTTTCAGGATGCCTTATCGCAATCATCTGTTTTTCAACCACCACAGCACAATATTGTGAAGTTAAAGGATGTTGTTTTGGTCGTGATGACAGCTGTCTAACCCCGCTAGGTGATCATTATTGTTACTGTGACGAGTTTTGTGATCGAACTGAATCCGGTGACTGCTGTCCAGATTTTTCTAGAGAATGTCTTGGAATTACACCCACAGGAGTACCACCTGGCCCTGTTATTGACTGTGAGCTACCGTACATTTTTGCTTTTTAAATCATAAAATCCTAATTTAAACTTTATTTAATTAATTTTAAAGTTAAATTTGTTTCCGTATGGCACACCAATTGTTTTGGTAAAATCTGCAAACATTCCCACAGATATTAATTAAAACAATGAGATGCTTAAAGCTAGACTCCGGAGGAAAACTATTTTTTGATATGATATACAACTGACACAAAGAGAGTGTTTGACGAAGAACTCGGGAACTGTTAATGACATACGGATTTTTTAATATTTAAAAACTAGGGGAAAGGGGGCATAACTAGGCCTACTCTTTTTCCACCCTTCTCCCCAAGTTTATAAATATTTATCTGTATCTCAATTTTTTCGTCAAACACCGTTTTTGTATCTTATAAAAATCAGTTGTACATCATTATGAAAAGTAATTTTTCCTCCGGAGCCTAGATTTGAAAGGTTCAAAACATAGATATAGATTAAAAAGGTTTCGTTGATTGTGTGAGGCCTATTCTATAGGTACTGTACTAGTAGCAGTGCTAGGTTAATTATTGACATAATATCATACTTTGTTTCAAAGTCGATCGGTTTTTTTTTACATTAACACCGAACATCAAAATTACAATATGAGTATGACTTTTAATACAAAATGAAGCAAACGTTAAGCAAATAGGTAATGTAAAGATGTGCGAGTTACTGCTAGATACTAAATAACAGGAATGACGTCATTTATGAAGATGTTCATCTGTGATAAGTTGTAAAAATATTTCAGTTGCTTAATTTTGTATGTTTAAGTCCATTAGAAATTATATTCGCCAATAAAAATATCTTTGCTAATATGATATCAGATGAAGGGTATTTTATGATCCAATTACTGCAATTCAATTCGGTTTCAGTTGACTGTGTTCGGGCTGATGGTGCTAAATTTCTTGCGGGTGCTTCATACATGGATAATTGCAACAGATGGTAAAACATCAACTTTTTCCGTTATCTTCTTATTGATCACTCATGCACTGACTAAAATTGAGACAAGGCGTAGCACGAATCTTACACCAAAAATGTCGATCTCATTTAATTATTAAATTGAAATTAAATTGAATTTTATTTTAAAATATTGCCAATTAATAAATTTTTAAAAACTAAAACATAAACTGATATATTCTATAAGGAATTATATAAGTACTTACCAAGTGATACCTTCCTTTTCGATACTACAGCGTACCATAGTAGAGGGCAGTATTCTAATATTCGCCTTTTAGCAATTGACAACCTTACAATCATATCTCGTTATTTGCAGCACTTGTAAAGAAGTACAGTCTGGATCAGGACATGCGTTTGAATGTGAAATGAATGCATGTCTTATACGAGAAAAAGTAATTAATGAAGTCAACGCAAATCAACAATACGGGTACGTATTAATATTATCGAGGGTTTATTTTACCGTATTTTCAGGGTGTGTTTTTAATCGGCTTAACCATGGCTATATCTTGTAACTTACAATATATGAATATACTGATTAAATGTAAAACGGTAAGTATTAAAAAAATGTGATTACTTGATAATGCTACCTAGTCGGTATGGAACGCGATAACGGTAAAAAAAAAGAAAGCATAGTATATAAACGAAGACACAAATGCATCGTGAACAACACTCGTGACTTTTTTTAAACTACTCCGGCTGTCATTTTTTTGTATATTTAATACTGAGAGTCTTAATAAAACGTATTGATAATTCAAAAATTAACTGTCGCTTGATATCTCCAAGGGAGTTATTCTGTACCTAAAAACAGTACAGAATATCTCTTGTGGGAAAAAATAACTCAAAGTAACAGTGCAGTTCCGCAATGGCATCATTTTGCTAAGGCTTACATAGGCCTACATAAAATAAGTTCGAATTTAGGCCTAAAATTACAGATGTGAATAGGAAATTAATCAGCAAACATTTTGCATTTCAAACAATGACAAATTGATCTGTAGGCACAACACATTGTTTATATTATTTTATGTAGGTGGACAGCTAGCAACTATACCATGTTCTGGGGACAGACCCTTGGGAGTGGGATCCGTTATAGGTTGGGTACAATGAAGCCAGATGAGACGGTAATGGCGATGAACAAGATCCAAATGGAAGAACATGTCGTTCCGGACACTTTCGATGCTCGAGAAAAGTGGCCAGGTTACTTAGAGCAAATCATGGATCAAGGAAATTGTGGCAGTTCGTGGGCTTTCTCAACTGCAGGTAAGATTAATTTTTCAGAACAAATAGGCCTACTCGTAATTTCTACCCTAAATATTGAATAAAAAAAAACCCCGTGTAATAAGGTATGCCTACCTAGAATGGTAAAATTACACAACCTTGTTTTGGGAGCGTAAAGTGTGTCCACATTATTTAAATTTACGCGTAAAGTAGCTCCACCCTGACATTGTCCCACACTGTTTGAGTGGAGAAGATTATGCATTGTGCAACCATTTCCATGGTAACATTGTTAGCACTTAGTATCCGTTGTATATAAAACACATTGTAGCGTCTTCCCTCGCGGTTCTCAAACCGTCCTGAGTAAGTACTCTGATTCCTACTAGGTTTTGCAAAAAAATGATTTGTCATTTATACAATAACGAAGATTATTATTAATATTATTTTGCTATTCGTAGCCGTTGCCTCCGATCGTCTGGCCATTCAGTCAATGGGTAACATGAAAGTGATCCTATCACCCCAGCACCTACTATCGTGTAATACCAGACGTCAGCGCGGCTGCGATGGAGGATACACTGATCGTGCTTGGTATTTTCTAAGAAAAAAAGGGTAAGCTCCGCCTTGTTAGTTCTAAATTGTATCATGAATAAAATAGTTTAACTTGTAACGAATTTAATTTGGTAAATACACAATAAGGATCTATTATTACCGCCATTAAAGTCCGATGCCCGAGTGGAGGAATGTTGGTAAAACATATGTGAACAGGGATAAATAACGATGAAGTGATGATGATTATTAGCTCGACGCAACTGAGAAAGGAGTTCAGGTTATACTTATGTATAAAATGAATTAATAATGATTTTTTTTAATATTCTTATTAGAATCGTAACGGATGAATGTTATCCATATAAAAGTGGAATGGACTCCGGAATGACGATGAAGAAAGGACATTGCATGCTACCACCGCCAGACCATTCACCTTGCCCCAACGAATACGTGCACAGTGATGCGTACAAATCAACCCCTCCATACAGAATTGGTCAAGAGGTACTTACAATTCATAAATGCAATAAAGATAATGTTTAATTCATACGTTAGACATTCCACGCACCTTTCCTTTTACTTTACCTACCGATTTCTCTCCACCAATCTTTATATATATATCCCCTCTACACCCACCTTGCATGATGAAATCTCCCCTTTTACGTTACTGATTTTTGTTTAGCCAAGTTCTTTTCTAATCACTCCACTCCACAATTTTATTTTCTCATCGTGTCTGTAAGACCCGTTGTGCTGCCGCACTTTGTAATAATCGTCGCACTTTGTAATACCTGGTGCACTTTGTAACAAAGTTGTCACATTTTGTAATAACCTGTCGCACTTTGTATTAACTTGTCGCACTTTGTAACAATCAAGCTGTCGCACTTTGTATTAATTGCCTGTCACACTTAATAAATGGCCCGTTTCTCCTTTCGTTTTTTTACGTCTAACCAGTTGCTTTCGTCCTTCGATTCCTCAACCTTTCTAAGCTGTGTCCAAGAATTTCGATCGATGGGGTTGATGCTTTCGTCATCACGTATCCTATTTATAATGTGTATTTCCACTACTATGTTTTTTGTTTCGTAGGAAAATGAAATTAAGCATGAAATTTTCAAGAATGGACCTGTACAAGGTAAGCATACCAAATAAGTGTAAAAATTTAGATAATGTCATTTCCTATATATACAGTCTATTTCAGAAATAACTGTCGACGAAAGGTACGTTGGTCTAAAGCGCAAAAAGGATAAAACATGCAATACAAACTTTTGTATAAAAGCAATTTCAAATGCATATCAATTTTTTCATTATTGTAGCTACTTTTCTAGTGGAATCTGATTTTTTCATGTACAAGAGTGGAGTATACCGCCATACAAACGTCAATGCAAACGAATCGCCTCAGTATCGACAAAGTGGATGGCATTCAGTGAGAATCATTGGATGGGGTATTGGCGAAAATGGCGTTCCATATTGGGTGAGTAGAAACACAAAAACCCCCAACCAACTAATGAATTTTGAATAATATACAACTTTAATTATTCATATGTTTTGTATAACCACAGATCCTAATGGTATAATTAATGACACATTTCTGATTACGTTTTAGGCTTAGATATCATTATAGGCCTATATAGTATAAATTTGATGTTCATTATAAACGTAGTTTCCATCCAGTTTGATATACTTTCAAAATATTAAAAGTTGTAATATATCGAATTGATGGATGGACCTGTTAATGTGAGTTTTCTTCTTTTTTTTTTTTTGGTTGAATTGATATCAAAATATGACGCTTATAAATCTATTATGCATGCTTATGTTAAATAATATAGTAAAATGGGGATTAAGGAGCTATCTATTTTATTTCAGCTCTGTGCTAACTCGTGGGGGACTAATTGGGGAGAGAATGGTTACTTCCGCATCGTACGTGGTTCAAATATGTGTGAAATTGAGTCGTTTGTCGTAGGAGCCTGGGGAAAAGTTGACGCAGCAATGATGCACAAGGAAAACCTAGTATAACACACATTAAGAAGACAGTATCGTCACCCATCAATTTCAACTACAGAAGAGGGCGCACAGTCAACGATACTACTGTACTTAACCATATCTGAATTGAAAAAATATAAGTTATATATTTGATTTTTTTTCAATAGTCCTCATGTTTACATTACATTACCAATGAGTAAGAACTTTTAACAAGTCTGATAAAAACATTGACAGAAAAAAAACACCATGTAGGGCTTAGTTTACTTAGGCCTACTCATAAAATCATTCAAAGTAATTTGCTGGACTACGGCGGTATCGATTATTACGGGTTATGATTACAATAGCATTCCCTTTGAACTAGTATAACTATATTTCAAAAGAGAAACGAAATAATATAACACACAAAAAGCTTTGTCGAACATCGTGTAAACATTTGAAACGGAAACGTTTGCTGGTTTAAGATTCTTGTACTCAAAAATTTACCAAAGAATTTTGTAATTCCCTACCGATTTCCATTGGTTCGCTCCGAAAGTCTCATATGACCACCTCTACCATTTGGATGAAAAATAGCAATATTTAATTACCAACAATGAGGAAATTATTATACTTTGCAAACTCGTGTTTTGTTATATATAGTCACTCTGGAGATGAGTATGTACATAAGCGAATCTTGTACTTAACGACTCCAATTAGGCTTTTATTTGAGAAAGTATCTTATACTAGATCTACCTTTGAATTTATAGATTATTATTATTATTTAGATAAATATTTCAAAATTATAGTTTAACATATTTAAAAATCATGAAAATACTTGTAGTTTATTGAAATTGATATATACTTAGAAATTTAAAAGAAACAAAAACAGAAATATCGTTATTTTTTCTAATTATAGGCCTACTGGTAGATGTTTTTGGTTAATAATTTGTTACTACCCCACGTTATAGTAATCCAAGATGTCGTGTTATATGGCTCAACTTTTATACACTCGTAGATAATTTATAGTGAATTTATCTGATCGCTTTAAACACATACGTGTGTAAGTACAGTATTAAGTAAACAGTTTTCGAACTACAGTATTGTCCTATCCATTAAAGCTATTGCACGATTGCAGTATTATTTAAATTATTAAAACACAGTTGTCGTCTGCGGACATCTACCATTGTGCAGTTGCCCTCTCAATCTTATCCCTGTTACAACTACCATGCGAGTACAATTTTGTAAATTAATTAATTTTTTTTTTTATATTAGGCCTATTAAACTATTAAAACATTGCCGTTGTCGGTTGAGTAGCGCCCTCTATACTTCGCCGTTTAAAACTGACGCAGCTGTAACCTATATTTATACTTATTATTTATTATATTTTGTAGTGATTAATTGTCATTGGCATCCTTATTGCATGAACTCTTGCCTTGTATGATATTTCTTAGTGTTGTGAATCTATACCTACAGAAGTTTGGCTAAAAAATAATATTCAACGTGATGGATAAAAATCCTTATAACATTATTTAAAAAGTTACAAACTTTTCTTTATGGAATAGAATTATAATTTGGTTAATGAAAGAGATACTCTCTGTTGTATTGATGTTGCAAATAATTATCTTGTAAATCATTAAATTCATTTGGCAATAAATTTGATACCAGTAGAATCGAAGTATTGTGTTTGCTTCCAGCGTATTGACAGATTTCTTTTCGAATTAACAGTTGGATCATATGAAGTAAATTTTATCTCCATAGTCCCTTTAGAAAACTAATTGCGCTAAAATCGAATTACATTTTACTGATATCAATTGATTGCCTCCGGAATATGGTTTGTTTGGTTGCTCTTGAAGATTGTATAGAATCAGGCAAGGAACATGTTTTGTATGATAAAACACAACAATTACTGCCCAACTTATGGCTGTCGCAAGAGTTAATTTGCCTTTTGAATTTAGATCTTAATATATCACGAAGACATGCCATCAAGAATCACTCTCTCTACTGCCTTCCATATAAATAACTACGAAACCAAGAAAGAAACGACCCACATACGCCACTCTGTTTCAGCTTGAGCAACAGAAGATTGTGTGGAAATTCAGGAAGACCATGATGACAAGAATTCGGAGTCGGAGCTGAAACGGATTGAAAATAATGTTAAATAATGAAGCTTTTGCATTAGCACTGTGTGCAGTTTGTCCACCGTGCTTACAAAAGTGGGTGTGGCATTGGTTCAATTGTAAACTGCCATAGATATTACGGTACAGCATTTGACGTGTTAAAGAATTTAAACAAACAAATGCTTTAAAAATGACCCAAGTCCATGATAGTAACGTTTAGTACCATTGAAGAACAAAGATACTATACGTAACCTTCTGTTGATTTGAGAAGTTGATTCATATATGCGAACATCGAAAGTCTGGATATATACATGAGTGCCGAGTGTTAAATTACGACAATTGGGTTTAAAATATTTCTGTCACTGACAAAAAACTACACAAAAAGAAATGACTGTAAACATTATTTTATTTTAATAAATACATAAACATATCTGCTATATGTGAATTCTTTCATTTCAATTATGTATCATTTTTGTCCATAATCATTAGAATACATTAATCAAGTAAAATTACATTTTATTATCTATTTACGATGTCGGAGGGATCTACCACACACCACACCGGTAAATCATTCAACCTTTAATGACTGATACCCAGAACCATAGGATTTCCTCAATAAGAAATCATTGATACTAAAAACGAGTACAGGTTAACAAAAATCTTGCCTTTCCACCATGCAAACACGTGGAACACAGGCAGGGTATTAGATGTAGGTATAAATTAAGCATGTAGGATGGTCCATTGGCAAATATAAATGGTACCTCCACTGCACCGTATGTTCATGTAATTGCTACAGTTAAAGAACATCTCTTTGTAATGACAGTCACTTATCATTATAGCTCAATGTTCAGTATTTTCTTTACAACATTACCTTTATCTACACGCATTTCTTTAGATGGCCAACTAAACTTTACACGTACGTGAAGCTTAGGCACCCTGGCCCGAGATACACATGTCAAACATTCCTACTGTCGGTTTTACAATGTCTTAGTTCCTCATTTATCATTAACAATACATTTGAAAAAATAAACACAACAAAGATTGTACCTATTGGAACAGAGTGTCTATAATGAGCGACGCCATCAATATTAAAAGCTACCCCTATGCCCAATATACGATAGTTAAAATCAACCCCCTACTTTTTAAGTTAATTTATGTATCATTTTTGTCCATAATCATTAGAATACATTAATCAAGTAAAATTACATTTTATTATCTATTTACGATGTCGGAGGGATCTACCACACACCACACCGGTAAATCATTCAACCTTTAATGACTGATACCCAGAACCATAGGATTTCCTCAATAAGAAATCATTGATACTAAAAACGAGTACAGGTTAACAAAAATCTTGCCTTCCCACCATGCAAACACGTGGAACACAGGCAGGGTATTAGATGTAGGTATAAATTAAGCATGTAGGATGGTCCATTGGCAAATATAAATGGTACCTCCACTGCACCGTATGTTCATGTAATTGCTACAGTTAAAGAACATCTCTTTGTAAATGACAGTCACATATCATTATAGCTCAATGTTCAGTATTTGATCAAGATTTTCTTTACAACATTACCTTTATCTACACGCATTTCTTTAGATGGCCAATTAAACTTTACACGTACGTGAAGCTTAGGCACCCTGGCCCGAGATACACATGTCAAACATTCCTATTGTCGGTTTTACAATGTCTTAGTTCCTCATTTATCATTAACAATACATTTGAAAAAATAAACACAACAAAGATTGTACCTATTGGAACAAAGTGTATATAATGAGCGACGCCATCAATATTAAAAGCTACCCCTATGCCCAATATACGATAGTTAAAATCAACCCCCTACTTTTTAAGTTCTGCTGATGCTCATTATTAAAAAAAAAAAAAAAAAAAAAAAAAAAAAAATAGTTTAATTCTTTACAACTAAGTGTGTGTGTAAGCCATTTCATAGTAACCTATACAGTAATGAAAACGACTTAAGGTAGACAGCGCTTTTTCATTTTAAGGCCTAGTGTCACATCCATCCAAAACATGTCACTTGAAAATGCCTTGGTTTAAATACTGTTAGTTTACTAAAGTGCTGTTTTAGATTACCTCATTTTAAAAGAATAACAAGTATTACCAACACTGACATCTTGTGAATGTATCAACAGAAGTTTACCACAAATGCTACTACATAATATTGTATATGTAAAAAACTACATATCAAAGAAAAATGAAGCACACAGACAGAAAAATCCCAGCTTAAATGACAACTTAATATCAAGACAGTGCCGTATTCGTCACAAAACTAAGTCAACAAACACTACCGTAAACATCAGAATAAAGCAAGTCTTTTCATAATACTAAAAGTACAGTTACATACTGACTTGGGGCAAAAAGTTATGATAAGTAACAACAATTATACTAATATAGACATATTCGTACATACATAAACGTATGTTGACCTATTAGTAATAGGTCAACATACGTTTTATTTAATGACAGGATACATCTCATTGATAATATCGTTTTAGTTGAATGTAATCTCAATTGTCTCATCCGATGTTATCTTGATGGGTCTTCATAACATAAAAAATTGTGCTTATTATAAGGTGAGGCACGCATTATCATTATTATGTTCCGCTGGAGCGCACTCATCGTCGATTACTCAGCGCCCTTGGAATTCCATAAGAAACAAAACATTTCTTACTATGAACTATAATCGAAAAGGGAATAATCGTCAAGTGGGTAGAATATTTATGAAACATTTTGAAACTATTAATTAAACATGGGAATACAAATAACTGGTAATATTATACATCACGCTGTGTTTGATTACTCAGTGCCCCGGAATTCAATAAGAAAGAAAACATTTCTTACTATGAACTATAATCGAAAAGGGAATAATCGTCAAGTGGGTAGAATATTTATGAAACATTTTGAAACTATTAATTAAACATGGGACTACAAATAACTTGTAATGCTATACACCACACTGTGTAGATTAGTGTCAAGGCAACATAATGTTCTTTCTCTAAAAAAAAAAAGATTGCAACATTTCAAGGGACACTACATTCAAGTTGTTTTCAAAGGCTATGTACAGATAATAAGACATTACCTCGTAAATATTCATAAACGTAACTAGCTTATAAACAGAAATTGATATACACTAAATTAAATGTTTTGTACAGCAGCAGGCCTAAGCTGAAATCATATTTACAACATGTATACAATTTAATCTTCAACTTCATCTCACATTATTGCTTTTACGACACACTTGTATATAGCACACCCTTTCTAGAAAGTGCTTGCCAAAACATTATTTGCATAAATTTGCAAAAATTAATTCACACGCAGCGTATTTTCTTAAATTATTACATAGATATGTTTCAAAAGTGCCCAGCCTGCAGTACAGATTACACCTAGTCATGGCAACAATAAACTAATAATATATCTGTGGCACATTTGTGTTTTAATATTTCCTGCTGTTGCCTTGATGTTTGTAGTGATATTCACTGTAGTTAGGTGTGTTTACTATTGGAAAAATTAATCACATAATAAACCAATAGAAAATAATGCACATTTAAAATATGTGTCTGTTGTTTGCTACTATGTTTCCACAAGACAAGGATATTTATGTTTGTGTTCTGATACATCTAGTGTTGTTAATATATTTCTATTATTTGCAAAGGCTTTCTTGAGATGTTTAGAAGTTCGTATTTGCACTTGATTTATAATATAGCTTGAAGCTGCTTAAATGTTTCCTTAAATAGTTAAAATGTTCAATTATCCATGTATTGCTTTTCATGATTAATCATTTACTTTACATAATTTTTTTTACATTAAGAGATTTTATTCTTTATTATTGTTAATATGCTGATGAAATGTATGTACTGTTGATATTGATGTAATTTTACAAAATTGACTCCTATTTGAAATAATGGACCTTCCTGTCAAGCTCCACCCCTTGGATATTGTTGCTAAGGTCCCACAAAACAATAGTGTAACTGTACATAAACAAGTGTGTTTGCAGGACATGCACAAATGCCTGGGCCTCTTCTGATTGGTCAGTTGTTAGGTTTGACTGAAACACCGGAAAGGTCCATTGTTGTTATAGGTCGTGTTTCCATAGCACTAGTTGAATTATTTATTTAAAAAATAACTAATTAATTCACTCATCCTAGGATATTTACAGATAATTAACAAATCATTTAAAAAAAAAAACTTATGTACTATAATAATAATGAAGGTCGTCAAAGGTAATTTGAAAATCATAAAGAATTTTTTTTTTTTTAATTATAAGGTGTCACCATGATGATATCATGATGATGATACATAATCAGATTTTGTTTTCATATTGTAGCTTTTCAAAACTTAAACTCAGTTTCCATAGAATCGCCCATCATATCAGCGACAATCGCCGACAGCCGTCAGGAAGGTTGAACCAGACAAATCAGGGTGCATTGCTAGCTGCCCTGATTAATATGGAAGGCACCATGATTCGTTCGCCTGCAATGAAATCAGCATAGTTGAACAATGTTCAACCTTCCCGATAACTATCGGCAACTGTCGCCGATAGAGTGAGCAATTTTATGGAAACCGAGCTTAAGTATGCAACAATGTTCAATCTCTTAATTCAAATCATTCTTCTTCTTTCAAGTTGGCTGGGTAATAATAGAGCACACTACCTGAGATTATATTTAAAAAAACAAATTATTTCTACCATTTGTATAATCATCTGAACAGAAATAATAAAATAAATTTAAAGAAAAACATTTGGAACCATGTAAAAAGGGAAATCATGCATTTTGCCTGAATTAATTTATTCTCATTAATTAAAATGTGTTGTACTGTTGATAATGAATTATCCATTAATATTGCATATTATTTGTCTTTCTAATGGTTACGTTCAAAATTCAATCTTAAAACAATTACAAATTACTACATAATTTATGCTTTGCCAAACAAAAAAACCAAACAAGTCATTACATTGTTTCTGTATTACTTTACGGTTTTCAGTAAATAAAAGTACATATTGAATAGTTTCTGTATTACTGTATAGTTTTCAGTAAAGAAAATCATTACATTGCCTTTACATTACTATTGAGTTCTACAGTGTTACGTCACGATACCACGTGATACTAATGCGTTGCTATCGGCGACACAAAATGCGTTCAACCAACACCATTTTCTCCACTGACAAACCATTGATCCCAATTTCTAACATAATTATTAAGAAGTTGTATCTTAATTTTTCTTTGTAAATGTTAATTGATGATTAAATATGTGTTCGCTAACTAACATAATGCGAGCTTTTTGTGTTTTTAATACATTTTGATGGTAAATTATTAGGTTTTAAAATGCCTATTCCAGAAAGTCTATTCTAAACCAACCAATGTCCAGAGGGCGCCACCTGGTGTTATGACGACACGAGTGTGGTACTCTATAAGGATCTCAGTAAAACAAAACAAATAATAACATTTTTCTGTATGTAAAGACCACAGTATAAAAACCAAAACATACATGTATTACATTATATAGCTCTCATTAGATAAAAAACCCCAAATAATTAATTTGTTTATGCATCAATGTAGGGCCCTCAGTAAAAAACATTTACTGATGCAAATAATTATATATATATCAACATTATGTATACATGTATACATATCAACATTAAGAGAATACTGTAGAATATACTTTAACTGTACTCATAATGATGGTAGTACTTAATGCATTAATCGTTATAAATATTAATTTTATACAAATATATTCTCTCAAACAACAACCGAGTTCTGTATATTTTAATATTTTCTATAATTTGATTGATAGTTCATTTCCCAATGCCTTTGACTGAGATAATACTGTGCAATTACATTGTATTTACACCTAGCTTTCCATAGTTACACAGCTAGTTTTTATTATAATTACACAACTAGTACCTCTCAAGCTACACAAGTCTATGTAACTAAAAGTTCTCTTGAAACCTTTCATTATGGCCAACAGTATATTCATCATCTATGTAAAAAGAATCAGAAAGGGAGGTGGGGGTGAGGAAGAAAGCAGGGAGAGGGGGTGTGGGTTTTTGTGTCCGAGGCTCTATCGGTTTATCCACCTTCGCATGTTCTCCTCCCAGTGAGGGTTTCCCCCTTCATCGTCTGTTTTGAAATTTGTATCATCATCTGTGGCTCCATCATCGGTCTGTCTTCTGATATTCTGTGAAAATATGGTTCATATTTTGTAAACATTTTTGACAAATCAGTGTTTGCCTGTTCACAAATGTTTGCGGAAAAAACCTTACAAATGATTGGGTGGGAACCCACGACCTCCAGATAACTAGCCTGGTGTCTTAAACAATCAAAAACCAAGTGTGCGCTTGGTGGCCAGTCATAAATCCGATCCTCAAGTAGCAGCGGATACTGCAATGCGATACCAATGATTTTTTTTAAATTTTTTTTTTGACTTAAGCAAGTCTGAAGTTATCAGGGGATTTCAGTCTGTAAAATATCACACTGATGATGCAGTAACCTAGGTTAGGGTAGTATTAAGTGCACTGGTGTTCAAATATATTGTGTGAAAATAGGGGTGATATTTTGTATACATATTTTACTCAAGCAAGTGTGAATTTAGCAGCGGATTTCCATCTATCAAATTGATGATGCAGTGATTTATTTTAGGGTAGTAAATAAGTGCATTGGTGTTCAAACCCATTAGTAATTCTCTTTTACTTCTGTGTGGAAGGAAAGAGGAAATGCGAATGAAGTACCTTGCACTAGAAAGTGAAGTGTACAGCGAGTTCCAATCACAGTATTGGGTCTGAATTGCAATTTCTGCATCACACAGCCCCACACACATGAGCTTTGGGAAGTAGAGTAACTTTTGTTTTCGAGAAAAATTCTGAAATTTTTGGTAATTAAGGATTTAACCTAGGTGCTTGGGATTGTAAGGAGAAGGCTTTAGACACCAAAACATGTTTTTCAAATTTAAACCAAAAAACTTTAAAAAACAAACATTTGTACAAACCTACCCGTCCTGCATCCAAAAGTTCGTCATCTGTGTGACGTGGAAGTTCATCATCTGTTCGCATAACATATTCATCATCTGTACGTACTATACTCTCATCGTCTGTTCGGATATACGAATCAGCATCATCAGATTGCAAGTATCTGTTGGAATTCAATTTCATTTATCAAATAATCTTTAAATAATATTACTGAAATCTGTATAATAACTAATAGTGATAACTATTAATATGGTAAAATGGATCTAATTTGAGACATTAAATTTTCATTTTCATTTCATTTTGAATCAATTAAAATGACCTTCTGTGACTCAATTGAGCCTGAATTCCCAACATTAAAATTGCACCAGAACAAAGACACTATATTTTGGAGCCATTTAAGAGATTTCTATTTGCACGCCGGCGACTCACTCATCTCTGACCGTCCTACATTCTCTGCACAACATAGATTTGTGCCAAAGTGCATCCTAGAATCAAGGTGACAACAAGAACGTTCTCGCATGCGCAGATGACTAGGTCCTGCCATCGTAGAATCGAAAGCACTTTATAAAAAAGAAGAGTTAAGGATGTCTCAACATTAAAGAAACTTCAGGATTAGTGGTGAGAATGTATCTTAAACATCAAGCTACAGCTCAACCTATACACTCATAATGAAACAAAAGGTGGTACAATTAAAGTTTTCAAGAAAAAAGTAACAACAAAAAGAGTCAATATCATTTAATAAGCATTAAAAGTAAAAAATATATAATATAGTTATATCATTTAAGGTTAAAACAGACATAGAACACACACACACATGTGATGTATTTCAACGTAGTTAGATGTGTATAAGAGACAGGCACGTAACCGCTTACAATCGGATACAATATAGTTATTTTTGTATATGAAGTGATATGAAGGGGTGACTAAAATTAATACTGTGTTCATTTTGAATTTAGTATTACTTTTTCAGTGAAGCTTTATTGCAAATTTGTCCTTTTATTATATTGATATAATAAGTAGAACTAATTTAGAATGAGTGGGATGAAAATGAGGATAAAATTAATACTAATTAATGAAGGTATAATTAATGAGTGGGTTGTAAATCAGAATAACGCATAAAGGTCAAATAACAATACTGAAGGACAAATTAATGAGTGGGTTGTTAATATGAAGATTGGAATATGTAAGAACATTATAATCAGTGAAGGTAAAAATATAAGACTATCAACACGGATCAGATTAATTAAAAAGCTAGCAGGCATGACATAATGATGACAGAATGATGAGTTGACAGTGATGATAACATGGTGGTGTAACATAATAGCCATAATGATGATAATAATGTTATTATATGTAAATTAATGTGGAGTAGCAAAATAATATAATAATATGCCAAACAACATTAAACACTACTGATGGCTGAAAATAGGTTATTCTTCTTCTCTAGTACCTTTCGGACCTATGGTGGGTGTACAGTACTTTGCCAGGAAAAATATTCCACAACATTACTTAACAATGAAACACATAGCTTTAATAAATTGTTTTCCCATATTGATTGAAATAACAATCTTGGAGTTATCAGCCGTCATAATGGATGTTGACTATTAATAATTCCCTTCATGTTAGTTTAGTCTAAACTAAATATTACTTTAAATAATATGTTAGATTTATATAGTGCTTAATGCCAACTATGGATGTTTGACTATTAATAATAATAATCATAATAATAATAATAATAATCATAATAAAAATAATCATAATAGTAATTCAATTATTTTATCGATGGTAGTCATTGTATTTTTCTTGTAAATTGTTATATTTTCTATAGTGACTGTTTTTATGTTTTTTTATATTTGTTTTACATTTTATAATATATGTGATGACGAGCAGAAGAATTTCCCTTGTGGAACAATAAAGTTATCTTATCTTATCTTATCTTATCTTCATGTTGGTTTAGTCTAAACTAAATATTACTTAATAATATGTTAGACTTATATAGCGCTTAATGCCAACAAGGCCTCTAAGCGCTCCACATTATTATCCCTGGTCACAGGAACAAGCACACACGAAACACACTCAACTCCCTGGAGAGAATTTCATAATGTTCCAGCTGTAATCAGTGTATTTTGTGTTTGGACCTTCCAGGAACCCACTTGTACTCTTAGGTGGAGAGAACAACTATAGGTAAAGTGCCTTGCCAAAGGACACAAGCAAACTGCACAGCGAAGGATTGAACCTCTGACCTAAAGGTTGAGAAGTAGAACCACAACCACTGTTTCTTATATTCAATTTAGCTAGGTACTGTGATGATAATTATTCATTAAAAATACCTATATTTATATATTATGTACACAATTTGCAAAATTATATGTCAAATTTTGTAAAATGACCCTTTTTGATACAATAAATTAAATATAAGATTCAATCAAGTTGGTTAGCTTCATTTAGAAACATAAGCAGTTAGAACATTCGTTAAGTGCATCTGAAATTATTACAGTACCATCATTTTCTTGATGATTTTCTGTAAAATATGAGTTAATAATCACAGCAAATTTTATGTTATTCAGTGATTATAGTCAAACAAAGCTGCAGTTTATTATCATGGATTTTTAGGAGCTTTGTGAGGTGACTCATGCCACTTACGAGTCGGAAGATTGAGCCTCCGAACTTGATTTACTGTACGTTGTTGTCTCTTTTACGAGATGTATTTCAACGTAGTTTCTTCTACATCGCCTAGGACGTACAACAAGCCTGATTTATGAAAGAATGGAATGAGTAAAAAGAAACAAAAAAGAAAACATGCTTGAAATCAGGGATGTGCACAGGAGGAGGTATGATGAGCTGTCTGATCTCAAGTTCTTTTCTGATGTTTGTAGTGGGGTGCACAGCTGGCCAGGACCACCCTACATTTGTAAAAATTTACAAAAATGGAAATAAAATATTCAAATTTAAAATCTCAATGAGTGTCATTCCCATGCATCTAAAGGTGATATATAATAATTTGCTTTATGACTCCCAGTATAGAATAGACTATAGGTAGTTGATTAGACCTTTGTGACGCTCATGGAGGGGGGGGGGGGTGTCTAAGAGACAAGGTAGCATAGCTCCCGTCGGGAAGTAGTCAATAATTTTTTCGAGGATCACAGCTTTGAAAATAAATTTTTACCATCCAAGAGTGCCATTTCCAAGCGTCTAGAAGGGCCTATTCTTAAAATAGGTGTGAACTACCTACTGGGCCCCCGTCAGAAAATTTCCGGATCTGCCACAACTCCATTTCAAACTTCAAGCATGACTAAAGATGAACTTCATTTAAACATTTTAGTTCTATTAATAGTATGAAACTACAAAATTTTGTAATAATGATTAAATGGAAATGAGCAATGCAATGGTGGTAAGAGGGCAATATTCAAATTTGGTAGTGCACAACCCTGATTGAAATGACGAAGAAAGAAAACAGCCATAAAAAGAAGAAAATGATATTGAAATAAAAGATGAGGATTAGTAAAATGTGTATGAACAATAAGAACATAGAAAAATAAAGAGCAACAGATTTGAGAATGAGCATCCCAACTTTCTAGCTATAGGTCCATGAATCCAACTGTGAAAAAAAATGTGGCATTGAGATAACTACAATCGGTTAAACATCTCCAGTAATATTAATGGCAGTAGCTAGTAGTTACTCCTGTCTTAGAAGAAACTCCTAATTTTGGTTTGATGTTATTGTCCTAAATTAATTCATTCTTCCAATAACATCCAATCAAGATTTAGGAATTTGTTTAAGACTCGTGTAAAAAAGCCACTACCTTAGTAATATTTAATACCTTGGTCTATGATCAGTATCTGTCTATGGTCCTAACACTTTCACTGTGGCAATAGCAATGCATCCAACTCAATGCTCTCTTTTACACTATCAGAAATGTGTCTGATCAAATGGAGTGAGTTAAAAGCACTTACGAATCGGAGGTATTTGCTGTTGGCCCTGTTCGCATTGTCTTTGCTTCTTTTCTCATGTTGATCTGCGCCAAGAAGTCGCCATCTGCCCTACGAGATCTTGGTGAAGAATTCCATCCACCCGATGAGTCTGGTGTTTGAGGACTGTTCCCGGTATTGCTATCTGTATCACAAGAAATAATAAGAAAATATATTAATTTCACAAAAAGCCAAAGACAAGTATCGTCTTTGGATGTCTAGTTGCTGATTAATAATAATAAAAATAATTAATTAATTAAACTGAATTTGGCTTTTTCGGTGTAAAAAACACCAAGAGTAACTAATGAAAGTCTGAAGAATAATATCCAGAGGTGTCCTTCTGGTGGTATGGTTGATTAGGTAGTACAGCAAGAAAAAATATTTTCCAAAGAGGGTTCCGCATTTTATAATGTACATATGGTCATATATTGTCTTGTTCTTGTTTTCAATTGAATGCTAATAATTTAAGTAAATATTAGCAATTCCAATACTGGACTCTTCTATGACTGTAAAAAGATAAACATCCTGAATGCTTATTTTTGATTGGATATGATGCAACACATAGCTGGTTATCCTGGCAAAACTATCAAGATTTGATGTCATATTAAGAAGCAACTTTAAATAAAAAATATATAACCATTACATAAATAAATATAAGCATTACATAAATAAATGAAATAAATGTGTTTGACTTACAACTAGATTGCCTGGAGCCATTCCTAACTTGCTTAGTGTCTTCGTCTTTTTCATCATCATCATCAGCTTCTTAAACAAATCATAGATTTTATTAATTGCTGCGAAGCAGCCAATTCATATTCTTGACAGCAATTTGACCTCTGAAAGGTCATTGTTTGTCAAAAATTAATCGCCTGAGACAACTGAAAAGCGGAGTTTCCTTCTTTCGTTCTGCCGGGTAAAATCAATTACTTTAGGCGATGTTTGTAGACTAACCTACTTGTACCAACGTCGGCATGTCGCGACGCTGGAGTACTATTCAGCGTTTTTACTATATTTCTAAGTTTCCTATTTCTACGTTTAATCGGCTCATGTCTCAGCTTTTATTATCATCATCGTCTTTCATCATCATTGCAATCATTCAACAGATGTTTATAAGACGCTTGTTGTAGACTGGCATAGTGTTTGCGGAAATAAATACCATTTTATACACATGCTCAGATCGATTCGCCAGCAGCGAGTCATCGCCAGCAGCAGCAAGCCATCGCCAGCAGAGAGATGTCACTGCAGCAAAACACTATTGTACCAACGCTGTTCTAATAATATATAGACAATGTGTCGTGCTCATATTATTTGTTATATTTTTATTATTCATTATTTTCACTTGACTCGCATAAATAACTTTGTTCGAAGAACATTTTATGCAGTTGTACTTCGCAGCACTTCACTTGCAATTTGCAATTTCTAGTAATATAATATATATAGTAACATAAATAATATTAAAGATTATAGACATAACCAATAATGTAGAGTGGCAATCATTATGAAAAAATGTATTAAACTACAATGACAATAACAATGAACATTAAAATATTAGTTAATAATAAAAGAAGTACAACCAAATACAACCCCCAACACTAAAGAAAAAAATGCAAAATCTCACCAGAATTGAGCTCCTTCACCAGAGATGACATAGCATTGGTCACAGAGTCTGCAGCAACGAGAAGATCATTCCGTAGGTTCCTGGATGTCTTTCCTGTAGATGGATCAAATGCATGCTTAACATCACCCTCAACACCTGCTAATGGTTCCCCTTGACTGGATCCTGCTGAACGATGCGTGGGAGTTGAAAAGCCAGGTCGTGGACTATGCACTGGACTTGTCTTAGGCGATCCTTGATTCTAGAGACAGAATGAACAGTAAACAATGAGGTTATTATACATTTCATTGAAATTCAAACAAATAGTTTAAATATCCATAATTTACATTCAGTTCAGTGGATATCGGGCTGAAATGAGGAATTACAAAATTTAGCGAATAATCCAAAAAGTTTTATAGAATAAAAAAAAACTTGTAAATAGTGAACAAACTGGTAAGGCACTTTCCTGGTTAAGAAAAAAAATAAGCAACTGGGCCAAAGCCTTTAATTACAAAGTTGACTCATAAGAAGAAGAAAATGTATTATACCTTAAGAAGTTTCATCAATCCCTCTAGCTGCACCATCAGCTCTCTTCTACTATCCTGCAGAGCTGCCATTCTCAGTTCCAGTTCATCCTTCCTCTGGCGTAGCAGTCGTAGCTCTGCCAGCAGCGTGGGGTTGCGGTGCAGACTCGTTGATTTCACCGCTTCCTCATGTTCCTGCTTTAGTCGCTGGATTTCTTTCATAATCTCACGGTTCTTAGCTTCAAGCTGGGCAAGAAGTTGACGTTGACTACGGTTTGTATCTAACTCTGATGGAATTTCTGATGCGGAAACCTTGAGGATATTGAAGTTTGATGAAAAGACAAGGTGCTAAATATCATTTTCCCACAAGTGACATTGAACTTTAAAATCATTTGTTAAACATTAGAATATCAACATCCTATCACAAGTCAGAAATCTTAAATAATTGGAATAAGAGGAATACAATGATGAAAAGCACGATCAGAATGATTAATTACATGAATAACTTACAGTGTTTTTAGCAGAGGCTAAGCAAGCAGTATAACGAGCTATTAGTCTATGCTCATCATCCAACCGTGAAGGATCACTCGCGTTGTTCAATCTGCGAGCGAAAAATAAAAATTGTTTTATTCATGAATCGTAATTCATTTTATTTTTATAATTACTTAAGTAATTGTTTGGATTTCAGGAACTGAAATTTCTATACAGGAACAAAAATATGGGAATATTTTTGTCTCTGATTAATATCCTATTTAAAAAAAAATATATTTCAAATAATTTTTAAAACACTCTGCTTAATATCCTATTTAAAACAAATTGTATTTCAAATAATTTTTAAAACACTCTGCTTAATATCCTATTTAAAAAAAATTGTATTTCAAATAGTTTTTAAAACACTGTTACAATTTTTTCTTTACTGAAATTCCTTTTATCAAAAATCCATCTTTCAGTTTATTATGATCTTGATCTTCAAAAGCATGCTAATATAGATTAGAAGGAAGGGGGAGGGGGGAGGAAGGGATTAATTTAAGCGGTTTTGAGTTAATTTTTAAGTTTTAGTTGTTCTTTTAATTTGATGTATCTTGTAATCATTTGTCATTTGTTTGTAAAGTTTTGTGTTTTGGACACCAACTTTGCTTTTCGAAAGTCCAAAGTCCAAATAATAATAACTATATAATAATAATAATAATAATAATAATAATAATAATAGAACAGAAAAAAATTGTGATGTTTACTTTCAACAAAAAAACCCAAATTATAGGATGGAGTTGCTAATATAATAATAATAATAATAATAATAATAATAATAATAATAATAATAATAATAATAATAATAATAATAATAGAACAGAAATAATTTATGTTTACTTTCATAAACCTAAGTTCTTTTACTTAAAAAAAACCCCAAATTATAGGATGGAGTTGCTAATAATAATAATAATAATAATAATAATAATAATAATAATAATAATAATAGAACAGAAAAACATTATGTGATGTTCACTTTCATAAACCTAAGTTCTTTTATTTAAAAAAAAAAACAAATTATAGGATGGAGTTGCTAATAATAATAATAATAATAATAATAATAACAATAATAATAATAATAAAACAGAAATAAATTATGTGATGTTTACTTTCATAAACCTAAACAGAAATAAATAATAATAATAATAATAATAATTATAAGAATAATAATAATGATAATAATAATTATTATTATTATCATCATATTATTATTATTGTACATTTAAATAATAATATATACATGCCTGCTATTTTGCACTATAAACATATCTCAGAGTGCTGCTCCTAGAGCACTTATAACAAGAAAACAATAGGAGTACAAACTAATTGAACAGTGGAGTAATCTGCGCTAATCTATTTTCTAAAGTGCAAACAGCACTGGATATACACAGATTAACCTCTTTATGGAACACAAAAAGCAATATATTTAAAAATAGAAATAATCATTGGATTTAAGCTAAAAGAAGAGCATTTGCTTTAAGGGAAATAAATATGCTTTATGGGATACAATGAGCAGTGGATTGAAAGAGGAAAATATATGGTATTTATGGGAAAACAGCAATGCTTCATGGGAGATAAATATGTGATTTTGCGATACAAACAAAAAATGGATAGAAAACAAATTGAACTGAAAGAAATGAGCAATGCTTTATGGGAGATAAATATTGCATTAACACTCTGACCGCCAGGGGTTTGAAAAAATAGTATCAGCCACTGCCAGACTTTTTAGCCAATTTTAACACTTTTCCGAAGCTCGTTGAGAGTGCGTATGTGATCAGATTGACATTTTAGCTTTACAATGGTACAAAACACTTTATTCTAATCACAAATCTGTGACTCGTAACAGTAAAATGAAAATGACTCACTTTTGGAGATTTACGCAATTTCGCAGAACGAAGCAGAGATAATCGCGATTTCGTGAAAGTAAATCAATACTGCTCTACGCTAATGTAAACAAAGAAATAGTGAAAAAAATACTTACGGTCCAGACTTGATATAGTGTTCAAATTGTTAGTACATCGGATTCCGTAAAAAAAACCTAAAACACGGATATCTCCGTGTTTGGCGGTCAAGCGTTGCGTTACCAAACACAGAGATCTCCATGTTTGGCGAGCAGAGTGTTAAGGGATGTAGTGCAAAAACCTTTATGACTATGATGAATAATAATAGGTTATAAAAAATTGAGATAAATAGCTATTCTATAAAATAAATGTAAAAAATTATTATTGACATATAAAATAGCACCTGACTGACCTCTTTAATTCGTCCTCGCTGGACGGCAGCCTATTTTGATCAGCATTTTCAAATGGCAACACAGTAGCTGGAGGGGCTGGCCTATGAATGTGAAAAAAGTGGAAAGTTTCGGAATATTTAAATAACAACAAACAAATACAATTTTCAAATAATGGGGTTTTTATATGAATATGGACATATAGACAGAATATACAGGTATTTTCGACAACCATACAACAGCAATACATCATGTTGAATGTTATCCACAATGTTTCCAGTCATGTTGCATGTTGTCCATAATTTTTGTCATTTATGGTTCATGCTGTCAATAATGTTTCTATTTATGCTGCATGTTGTCCATATTATATCCATTTGTGTTGCATGTTGTCTATGTTTTCATTTACATTGCATGTTGTTCATAATGCATCCATTCATGTTACATGTTTTTCATGTTTCCATTCATGTTGCATTTATCCTTAATATTTCCATTATGTATGTTTATTATATATGCATTAATAATGCATATCGTCCATAATATTTGTTGCATTTTGATTCATGTTGCATTTTGTTCATGTTTCCATTCATGTTCATTGCGTTGACACTGCAAAACCGTCATGTCTTACTTTCACTCGACAGGTTGACCTATTGAACCCCGTACTCATTTTTCATTCTCATCAGCATGGATTTTAGTTTGAAAATTCCACATGTGGGAATTATTTTGAATTAATTATATCTGACATTTGAAATTTTGAAATTGTATTAAAGCCCCTTTCACTTAATGTACATGTATAGCTTTGTAGGCCTATAGTATTATAAGATACCAGGAGCAATGAATGGATTATGGAGTAGTATTAACAAATTGTATTAAGACTAGTTCACTTTTTATTAGTATGTTAATTCTATTTTCATGACATTTGAAACTTGCACACCTCTTTTCAATTACACAGAAGCCTGATGCTCAGCAGTAGCACTAATTTTGAAAAAAGTAACCTTTCAATTCTTAATTTACAAAATGAATTAATTCAAAAATTATATATAAAACTGAATATAAATTAATTTAATTAAAATTAATGGTACCTAACTTTCTAATTTCATATTTGCATTAAAGGAGATCCAGTTTGTTAATTTAAATTCATACAACATTCAAATCATGAAAGCTACTTTTATTTTATGTATAGATGCTTTGTACAATATTCAGTTATGTGCACTAGCTTTGTTTGTACCTATTAATGCGTACGCGGTTAACACAACGGTCGAGGTTGCCTTCTCAATCTTTACATCAAAGGTTCAAAATCCTCGCTGCGCAAGTCACTTGTGTCCTAAAGCAGGACACTTTATCTACATTTACCAGGTAAATAAATGGGTAGAGGTATGTGCTGAAAAAGTAAAAAAGACTTGGGAAGAGTGGCACACCCCCCCCCCCTCCAATACCCGCCCACAGCCTTGCACAGTCTGGCCCAAAAATGGTAATGAAAGAGAGATGGGCACACTGGCCTGTGAGTCAAGAGCTTCAGGTGTTAGCTTTAACTTGTAAATAATAGACAATGCTGTATTCCTTAAAAATGTTTTAACTATTATATTATTAATTGTATCCCTGAAATTAAGTGGCCATGAGTATCATCACATGGTGAGTAATGCAGTATAATGTGTTAAGAACGCTCATCAAAGCAGATTTCCTGGAAGTAGCGTCTCCCATCTTAAAAACCCCTGAAAATGTTGTCAGACATTATGGTATCAACGAGTAGCTCCAAAATGTTACAACAGGAACAAAATTCTTAAATTTTAATTTCATAAGTGATCTTTTATAGTGTTGATCTTACTTTAGTTATTTATTTGTAATTTAATCTCATTCCACTGGGAGTACAGTATAGTTACATTTAATTTGATTCTTTCCACCTTATTCCCATTGGTCCATAGATTGTGAATTTTTAATTCTAGATTGCAGGTTTTACAGCTTTTAATTTTCTGTATACTGTATATACAGTCAAACACTGTGCCAGGGTCCTAACTACATTATTCAAAAGAATATTTAAAATTGATTAATTTAAAATAAATGCCTGAATGCCCATTATCCTTGCTCATTGAAACACAATATACACAATGTCAATCTTCTCTGGGGAAGTACTTGAGGTCATGCAAATATATTCAGCATAGACCATACAATATAAACACTATTTAATATGTTCTACTAGGAGGTAAAGAGAAAGAAACAAATTTACACAAAATTCCTTTCTAAATTGGTAAATTGATGGTTGAGGGCGTTGAAATACAACGTATTTGTATCGCAAAAAAAAAAAGGAAAGATCTATATCTATCTATCTGTGTTGAGATTATAACAATGCTTCCAGGGAAAGATTTAGTTTTGTGAACTTCATCCTAAATAATAATGTATGAACTGGACTGGTAACTGTTAACACTTTCAGACCAAGAGTAATAATTATCAAATGAGTAATTACACAATGTGGGAGAGATCAAGAGGATGTTCCGGTTCGTCAGGATAACGAGGCAGATTCGGAGAACGACTCGGGGAAGACTTGAATGGCTTCTTCAATGCTTTGCCCACCTTCTTGGCAGGAGATTTCTGAAAGAGAAAAATAAATACATAGAAAAATATATACACAGTATACTGTAGTTAACCAACTAACCCTAATTTCCATGTGTCAGTACTTTTTTGTTTAGGTAAAGGTAAAGGTCCTAGCAGCCATAAAGAGGTGCTTCATGGTAGATACATGTTCACATCATTCCACAACGACAGGGGCTGAAATGAACCATAACATTGGGGTAACCCACTACTCTTCTGAAAGATGCAATGGGTTCTTTAAAGTGCACACAAGCCAGATGTACTGTATACAGTGGAACTCCATCTTAAGACTTTATCTGAGAAGAGTTGGTTTTACCAACCGAAATATGGGTGAGGAGCGGCTGGAACCAGAGCCGATGTTATGGCTGTAGCTAGCGGTGCCCCTGCCTTAGCGCTCGGCCACTCGACTCGCCCTTTACTGTTATTGTTTATTGTTTGGCCTATTATGGAGGGAGGTCCCCCCTTTACAATGGGGGAGGGACACTATGTGCTATAGTAAAATCTGTTTTAGAGCTTCAAGTACATATTCTAGTACGAGTGTCAGTGCATATTCTACATAACAGATAAATGTCCTTAGTTTTACCTCCTGTTTATGTATCACATAATCCTCACATTAAGTGAAATTAACGGCCAATTAAAATCATGCAACCTATCATATGGGTAGCATAAAGTTTAGTTATTATTAGAAATAGCGAAAAAGAAAAACTTTATTAAAGGCAATATTAATAAAATAAGGAACGAAGCAGATCTGATATGAGACCTCCTTTAGATTTAGATACATGAAGTAGCTTAAGAGAATCTGCTTAATCTTGAGTGTCTAAATTATGAAAATATAAAGACATTAAGGATGCAATTATGTGAATCAGTTAGATTAAGCGTGTCAAATTGAAACCCCATGTAGACAACTCAATTAATATGGATTGTTTTCGTAATCGCCTCAAGTCTTGTGCAGATACGATTTTTCTATAACTTGCTACTTGGGTCACGCTAGCTATACGGTAGCTGATATTGTGATAAGTGCTATGTAAAAATTTGCTAGAATGGTGCATGGTATACATTTTGATTTTGCAAATTGATATTATAAAAAAAAATGTTGGCACTTACAGTATGCCCCATAAATTAAGTCAGTAGATTTACTCAAGGTTACAGAATAGGACACATTAATATAAATATATAATGTACTTCGCTATATCTTTATTATTTATTGGCAAGGCCTGTATGAGGAGTTCTGCAAGTGATGATAATATGTATATATGGATAGGCTAATGGGTCTACAGACACACAATTGCCTGTGTAATCACTACCATACTATAGTATGGGGAAATACAGTTTCCATAAACATACACATCACTAAACAACATCAAACAAGTGTGGAAATTACACAACAGAGATCACATTTAAGGGGCTACTGAATAGGGGAATATAAACTCTTCATAATTAACAGTCTTTAATTTTTTTTAATTTAATTTCCTCCAATATTGTTAAAGATAGGTAGCTGTTTCCCAGCAAAAGATGGTTAAATATTACCATGAGAAATAAATCACTATTAAAGTAACTCTACAAACACTGTGAAAAAAATAGGAAATAATATCAATGATAAAGGATAAAACAGCTTCGATTTACATTTTAAGATGATAAAAGAGGAATATACTGGAGTCAAAAACCTAAATGGGGCAAGGGCTTTTACCTCTACTACAAAATTACTTGAATAGGGACTATGCACTTTCTTCTCCCAAATGTTACTTGTAACACTGTTACTTTACTAAAGCTGAAAGCCATCCTGATGAAAACTTTATGAACAGCATGCCTCCCAGGGTAAAGGGGATGCTTATGGCTAAAATGATCTACCTTTTGGTGGTGGATTGGAGCTAAAATGTTCAAAATTCTGTAAAGTACATTACTACAAGCAATCTCAATGCAAAGGCAGGTTGTTCACTTGTTTTGCCTGAAACCAGAAAAATTCTATGATACTTTGCCCTCATCTGACCTAATAAATCCTGGAGCAAGTACTATTTAAAATGGACATCACTGGCATACTCCTATACATCGCCTTGAAGATATCAATACCGACTACTTATTCTAATAACATTGTAATTTGACACCTCATTACCATATCATCTATATCCTCAATTTCTAGCAATAGATCTTCAATCTGAAAACACGTTTAATTACTATTTAAATGAAGGCAAACAATTGATACGGATCCAACAACAACACTGAGAACACTTCATGATCAGAGACACGGAACTTAATTATTGCAAATGATTCCACCATACAGAAATAATAGACATGTTGTGTGGTGTTGATGTACCATTTAAAAAGACAACATCATATCAGATACCATCTTTAAAGAAATTCAGTACCGAATATGCCATCTTTTAATAGATTATTCCATAAATAACACATAACATTTAAACTGATTTTTTTCAAGATCTCTCCTATTTCATTTCAGAATAACAATCATAAAATTATTTACTGATATATATCAAACCTGTATAGTTTTGGTCACATTTTGGGACTATTTACTACAAAGTCGTTATACTTGCCAGTGAATTTAAGATTTTGTGCAAAAAATATAGAAACAGAACTACTACAGTTTCATAGATATATTACAGGACAGAACTTATGTCCTGTCAATATACAGACGTCTGTATTCTTAAAGATATATTACAGTCTATTGAACTAAAAAAACTTCCACAATTTGACAGATCTATTTCTAGATGGAACTGCACTGTTAATATACAGATGTGTGTATTCTTAGAGATATATTACTATCTGTGATGAATAAAAATCCTTATTTTTACAATTTTATAGATCTATCATTTATACATTTGGTATGCTGCTTCTCAAAGTCCAACCTTGATGTCAAAGTTTGAACCATCGTCCAGAATCAGATGTCATCTTTCATCAAAACCTTTAGATGAATATTCGTAAAAACTAAAAATCATACAGATATACAAGGAAAGTTTATAGCTTGTTCTGTACAAATATATGATAAATCTTAAAGGATTAATCTAAACATGAGAGTTCTGATCAAAAAAATGGAAGACAGAAAATCAGGTATGAAATCAAGTTCAGCAGATTTAAGAATTTTATCTTCAAAGCCATTCTCCTGAACAATTACTAATAAGCAATATAAATAGACAAAAACATTAAAAATTATTAATAATGATATAAATATTTAAATATACATATACATACATATATATATATACATACATATATATATGTATACATGTATACATATATATATACATACATATATACATATATATGTAAATATAAACATATTTTAAATCAACAAAGGTACATATACAGTGTTAAATATTATTGACAACACTAATAATAAAAATAGTAGCAATATTAAATATATTAACCAAAATATTACATAAATCATCCAGAAAAAAGTGTTATTCAAATATTACAAAAAATTTAACAATAATTACCATCTAAGCCTTTGCCTGTTTATAACATCCATCCTATTTTGATGCTAATTCTCAAATGACAAAAATGTTGGGGGACGAAATTATAGTGTCCTCCTGAGAAATGTCAACAGAGTTATGTAGCAAGAAATGGACGTGTTACAAATAGATCTGGCGAGTTACGGACAAACTGCAATTACCTTAGCTTCACTTAAAGCAATTACCCTCAATTAAACATACTCTCTATCAAGTTAATATTCAGGTGACATTAAGTGCTCTGGTCTGTATTATGGTACCAGTACTGCGTGGACGTCGAATGACGACAAAACCCTGCTGCATCCAGACTTAATGAATTTATAGATACAATAACTCCAAGTACATCGCAAAATGAGATGATTAAATAACCATCACCCAGCAAAACCACCATCAAAATCACCATCAAAACCCATCAAAATCACAATCAAAACCACCATCAAAATCACAATCAAAACCACCATCAAAATCACCATCAAAACCCATCAAAATCACAATCAAACACACAATAATCTGTACCAGTTTTTTTTTTATTGCTACAACATTAAAATCAATTTTTAACCTCTGTATTCAACTATTGTATACTTTAAAGATTCCTGTGTATGCCTTGTAATTTATTTTTGAAAAACTACTGTACTATTATTAATATAATTATTGATTTTTATATCTACACTAGGAAATTTCATTCTTAAAGAAAACCAAGATAATACTAAAAATATATATAAAGGATTATGAAAATTTAATAAATCTTTCAATTTCAGAGAAAAAAACCCCAAAATATAGGAAACAATTATGTTAAAAATAAAGGGAAATAAATATAGTACATATAGCACATGAAATGTAAGAAGATGATATTTGAGTATCCACAATTATAATTTCAAGGAAAAAGATACAATTTTTAATTACTGTAATTTTCAATGAATACCAAACACTTAAAGAAAAATTACAAAAATACCAATAAAAAATCTTAATAATCCATCTAAAAATCAAAATCAAATTCTAAAGCCTATATAAAATATATGATGAACTATTTCAGACTGAAGCGGATTGCTATACAATACCTTATCATATGTTGATGAGTCACTATTTCACAGAATAGTTTCCAATACAGGTATTATGTGCTACACAGTAGAAACTTGACTGATACACATATATTCTTAGTGCCTTTTTGAGTTTACAGTATCAGCAGCTATTCTTCACGTCCTAGCTATACGAGAGAAGTTCAACCAATCAGATGCCACGTCTGTATCTTCTCACTGGTTTCTACTAAATTTCCATAGCAACTATTAATTAAGGTACTACTTTCTATCAGCAGTAAAAAGTTGAATTTCTAGGTTAACTCACCCGGCGATGTCATTGGCAATTCTGCACCTAATTATTAAATGTTATTAATTAGAATAATGGGAACTAGGAATTTGATTAAAATCATGTCTAGGCTAAGAGGTCCTGCTGGTGTCCATAAGTGTAAACATGTGTGGAGAGCTAGGGAGTTTGTAGTCCTACTCGAGAGCTCATTTATAATCAATTTTAAATTATGTTACTTTGTTAAGAAGTAACAATAGTACTATTTAAACTGTCCACACTGCCAAGATGTAAATTGGAAATAAAATGTGCGAGTTACGAATATGAATATTTTGCGCGAATATTTATGCTAGCGTTTGTTAATAGCCCAGTCTGGACACCTCGCTAGTTATGCCACGGATTAATGTGCACCCGGCGTGAGATACGCCTGGTGTATATCTCAGGTCTGAACATAGTTTATTGCTTCTCTTTCTACTGCTCTATGTGATGTATCTATCCAATCAAAAACATTATCATCACCATCATTGCTTTAGTTTCATTAATGATTGAGGTCCGAGATGGTCAATTCAAATTAATGACTTGAAAACATTATCTCCTTGATGCATGTGGTTATAATATTAAAAAATAAGGTGATTATTATAGATTGTTTTGAAAAATTATGTTTTAAAGATTGTCAGAGGAGGGTGCAAAAAAAAAATAAAATTTTGTTTTCATTAATATTTAGCACATAGTTTTGCCAAAAACATCCAGATGGAGGAGAAATTTAAAAAAATAAAATTGGATTGGTGAATGTAAACAGTGTAGTATAGTAATGGGATGCTTAAATGCTATTTATATAATTAGGAAAAAATATAGGCTACATTTACCTTGGAGATTTCAAGGCAGTGGCAGGCATAATAAAAATAAAGAAAAACTAAGTTTTTAAAATTTTTTCTGGAAATATCCATTTTTTCGTGGCGGTGGGTGCGCTAATAGGCCAAAAATAAAATTTTTATTTTTATTCAAAATCATTATTATTGGCAAGTGGCAGGTTTGTTAAACAAGGTATAAATAAAGTCTCGCTTAAATAATAATGCCTTCTTCATGCCATTATAATAATGCAGAAAAATATTCAAATTAAATTAAAGATTTCAATTTTTACTCCAAGTATTTCAATACTTGGAGTATGTATTATACTTTCTTATCTGAGATTAATCAGTGGACCTTTCGGTTTTTGTTTTAATTTAGGAGCCAAAAATATATTATTGCTGTTATACCATAGAGGTTAAAGGTTTCTACTTACAAAAAGATGGAGTTTAAATAATTTTTTTTTTTTTTTATTTCCTTCACATCCAACAGCAAGTACACTCGCCACTTACAGGATGAGAATGATGCTCTTTATGAGGCTTAGGGAGTGGAGTTGATTTTAGTCGTGAGAAAAAGTCCTGCTGTGACAGGAATTGAACCCAGGATCCTGGGAAGGGTAAGATAAGTATCTTATCCACTGAGCTATTCAACTCCACTCAACATTACTCATACTACATATTACTTAATCCTGGTATATTTACAAGTCATTGCTGCTGGAAATCTTTCTTTATCGCTTGGGCCAGACTATGCAAGGCTGTGGGGAGTTCGCCACTCCTCCCGCACTGCAGTATGTTTGACCTTCCCAGTATATACAGTACCCATTTATACCTAGGTGGAGAGAGACAAATGTAGATAAAGTGTCTTGCCTAAGGACACAAACCCACAACCTCAAGTTTGAGAGTCCGAGCCATAACCGTTGCCCCAACCGCTTCAACTATCTAGTAATTAGAATTACCATAATGAATACTGAGTGGTAATAACTCAAATCCAATGAAGCTTGTTTTTAAAATCCAAATGATACCACTGGGACATGTCAATTATTTATTAGAATGATTCAAACTACCTGTCATAGATTTTACAGAGTACATTGAAAACCTTAAATTATAATATTTTTCCTGAAGATCGAATAAAAACAGTCAATGTAGAATGTTTATTTTGCTTAAAATGTATTATTACAAATTCATATATTCTATTCAATTCTATACTATCATTTGTTATTAATAATAATATTATTAGTTAATAAATACTATTAATTGAGCTTATTTAAAATTATCAGTTAATAAATACAATTATTTGCTAATAATAATATCACTGTAGTTAATGTTATTAACGTTATTGCTATCATGAGTATTATTATTCATATTATTATTTATAATCTTTTATACCTTCATTATTATTCATTAAGCAAAAGATAGAAGTTTAAAGTCAAAAATAATAGAAAATAGCTGCCTAGAAGACAAAAATTCTGGCCACACCACTATTGTCAAAATGAATAGGCTTACACCGAACGCATTTCTTCACTCTTACTGTTTGGATTAGGATGATGAAGCAGAAGAAATAACAAGTTACTAATAGCCAAAATTCTACTACAAGGGTAAAGATAATGTAGAGGGCGCTATCATGATATTGTCAAATATCACACAACAGTGGTTAAATCTCTATGCAACATACAGTAGGACAATGTGTTCCCTAAAATCTGTAATTATCGTCATATTTGTTACCTTATGAAACATATGTGGCAAAGACAAGCCAAACCAGTCACTCGTCGCAAATCCTGTTTTGGAGATAATGGCCAAAACATGCTGGAATGTCAACATTTTGGAAATCTATTTTATTGCACTAAACTAACCTTTATATATCTATACATCATGCTATGCTGTTATTTTCCTCATTTTCAATGTTAAAATAACAATTTTTAACAATTTGGTGATGGTTTCTGCTTAAGAAATGCCTGAAATCGTACACTTTAAAGGCTGATTTCTCAAATATTGTTCTTTAAACAGCTGTATGTTTAAACTCGTGTAACTTCATAACGAAGTGTCGGATTTAAATGATTCTTTCACAATTTTATAGCTCTCATTTTACTGTTTAACCCTGTATTAATAACTAAAAATTGATTTTTCCGACGAGTGACTGGTTTGGCTTGTCTTTGCCACATATCTTATTGACATAATATGCATTTAATGTAAAAATAAATGTGGTGCACAGAAAAAAAATCCCACTATAAGCTTACCCCTAAAAATCTCTGCAATAATCTGTGGTGTACCTAAGGAGATTATAATTGTGTGGCTCAATTGAAATAGAGTTTTTTTTTTAATTGATAAAGAAATCACCATTTTCCTTGATCAAAGCACTAAATGTGATCAAGCAAAAAGGTTTTATTTACATTATATAATAATTTTAAATTTGTATTTTATTTAGGCATGCACAGACTTGTACCAAGGATTGCCAATTGCAATTATATACCACTGTCCTACAAGTAGGTGACAATCCGTTTTACAAGACAAACATACACACACGATGCCTTACACAAACTAAATCTCAATATGAGGTTTAGGGAGTGGATTTTGGTCGTGAGAAAAATCTTGTAACACTGACAGTAATTGAACCCAGGACCCTGGGATTGGAAGGTAAGCATCTTAACCACCAAGCTATTCAACTCCACTCCAAAAAAAAATCAAAAAATATGATTACCATTATCTAGTGCTAGTAAAGATGGCCGACTTAAATAAATCAAGAGTAAAATAGCAACAGCTTATGTGGAATGGCAATGAATATAATAAATCTGTTACTAAAATTTTAAAAAAGATGAAAACAATGTCTCCCTTACCCAAGATGTGTGTTCCTTCATCTGATGGTCCTGGCTGTGACCTGCACACACATTTCCCCTCCAAAAGCAATTCTGACAAAGTTGAAAGTTAGAACATCGTTGGCACTTGTATCGGAAGCCCATCATGGACTCACGGTGGCAGTAATTACATTCCACTGGATGAAATACTGGAGAAGAAAAATAATAATTCTAGCTAGTATATAATACTGTACAGTTGCGCTTTCAAACTGCTGCTGTGTATTACTGCTCTCTATGCTCTCTATGCTGGATTTAAAGAACATTTCTATGTGTACATAAATATAAACCAATAAAGATTAACCACCTATCTCTAACAAATCCCACATCATTTGACAGAATTTATAAGTGCTGTAATTTGATAGTTTTCCCATTATCATGTAATTTGAAAAGTATACTGATGTTTATGTTATGTTTAGGCTCCAAAGTGCTGGAGAACAGAGCAGTGAAAATGATTCTTCTGCCACGCCTTTTTGTTTTCTTTGTTAGTTTTCCTTTGTAGCATTTGGATATTTCATGGTTCTATTTTTTTGTTCATGTACAGTGCATAGAGGCAATTTTATTGTATTTTGCACTATAGACTTACATTAATATTATTATTATTATTATTATTATTATTTTAATAATGAAGCATGTGGAGAGATATTATTATCATTATTACTATTATCACTACTATTTTTGTTGTTATAATCATTTTCTTACCATTTTCTGCAGTTTCCATCTTGTGCATCAATGGTAGCCACATGATGCATTGGGGGGCCTGTTCTCCCATCATCTTATCCAAGAAATCGTTCAATGTAACCTGAAGGAGAGTGAAATGAAATCAGTCCATGCTATGAATCTGATATGCTGTATTTCACCATACATAAATTACAAACTGTTGCCTGACGGTTGAAGTAACTTGCCTTCCAACCTCGATTCATGGGTTCAAATCTCATTAATAGTGGACATATTTTGAATGACTTAGGCTACGTTCCGACTTGGAGATAAGCCAAGCTTATGTTAAGCCCGGCTCAAGTTTAAGCCCAGCTTAACTTTGCCAGACGTTTAGACTAGCTGGATTAGCCAGACGAGGGAACCGGAAGTTAAATTTGCATATTCATGAACTAGAACCAGGAAATGATTTTCAAAACATTGTGCACAAGACGTACATTTTTTTTTTTTTTTTAAATAAAAGAGCTTAGGTTTATGAAAGTAAACATCACATAATTTAATTCTGTTCTATGATTATACAATAATAATCTAAAAATATTTAAAATAAATATATATATATATAAAATATTACAGATGAAACTTACAGGCCCATTAAATATTGACTTTGAGAGGCTTTCGTTGTAGCCGAATGATGGTCCCTCAAAAATAGTTGTAGGTAGAGCAAGTAGGTACTTTAGGTAATCATCAAACTTTGAGTGCACTAACATCCCAGATGCATCAGAAATCTGCTTAAAAATGTCTGAAACAAGTCGTAAAAAAAAAAAAGAATATAATGTAAGAATACATTAAAGTAGTTGGTACTGTCGGCAAGATATTCAATCTCTGTTTCTTTCCACCATGGAATATCAGTTGTCATCTTGCAGGATGTGCAATACACTGCTACGTGACCGCCATATTCCCAAGTGAGCAAGGGGTGTCTGTACACTGTCCTGATTTCTAACAGGAATCAAATGACCCACTAGTAACAACATAGTAAGCATTCAGATAATGTATCTGGATTTTAAAAGCACTATAAATATCCACCATTATTTTTATTATGAATTCGCTGAGCAGCTGTAAAATCGAAAGCAACTTTGCCTCTAAAAGGAATCCACTTTTTCGCAAGGACCAATCACAAAGCACAAATCAGAAGACTAGTCCCAGATTAGAATAATGATAAAGACCCTGGACAAAGAGCAAGGTTGGCATGAATGCAAAATGAGAGAATAAAAAAAAATAAGACAAACGATATGAAAATGGCTCTTACAGAAGCCCCTTTCAGACAGAGCTGCAGTACCGCAATATTGTGGTAAGCACACCGGCATGGGTTTGTCTGAAAGGGTCGATACACCAATATGTCTGCTTACTTTAGGCCACATCGAGCCGTAGTAATATTGTGGCAATATTGCGGTACCGGTTACTAGCTTGCTCTGTCTGAAAGTGTCTACTCGATATTTTGGCAATCTAGCCGGCTTGTGCATTTATGCAAAAACAAATAAGGTTAAAGTTGAAAACAATTGCGCAGTGGTATTTAAACAGCAAATATTACGCCATTCTATAGGACCCCTTCAGACAGAAAAGCGTACGATTACTGCAATATTGCGGTAACAAAGGCGCTGTGTGAAAGGGTATAGACCGGTTAATATGCCAGCATGCTTACTGCACTATTGCGGCAACGTCTATCTGATAGGGACTTTAGATACCTAGTATGATTCTTACAACTTACACCTGAGTTTGTCAGCAAGCTTGCCAGCTGCCAATGTGCTAAGCATCACTTTGACGGAAAAGACAGGAATCTTGCCAGACCCATCTCTGAAATAAGTCAAATAAAAGAAGATGATAATTAATAAGCTGTTACGGTACATTAGGGTTAATCATGGTAGGAAAAATATAGACTAAAACATAAATGCTTTTGAATTACAATATCTGTATATTTAATTGGATTTCAACTGCAAAATAGTCATTGTCAATGGTGATGATGATGATGAAATGACACTGAGTGATGACAATAATGATTTAGCTTCCCATCAAAGGTCATAACCGCTTTCTCATACAAAACAAAAGAGAAACATCATGTAGGTATAATACATATTGGAACATTGCACAACTTCAAAATGACAGATTCCCTTAGCACCTAGGATGTTTTAATCTACACCTGGATTCAACCCTGGACCTCACCAGGGGCTACACCACTGGTCTTAACTGGAAATTCAGACAGCTATTTGCCTCTGACAGATATCCTAAAGTCACCACTCAGACTGAGACATCTACATCAACTAGATGTGTAGTAATATACATGGGTACTGTAAGTGTGGAGTGGGTTGGTGCTGCTAGATAATAATGAGCCTGGAGTGTGAATGTGATTATCAACTTACTTATCGTATGCAGACACTAAGAAGCCTGTTAACAATCTGATTGAGGTATCAACATCGATTGAATGTGTGGTTGGCAGTCGTTTGTTTAGCTGGTAGTAAATGCTGGAGATCATGTTGTCTAAACTGGTACGACTTAACTCTTCCGAGACAGACATCTTGTTCAGACCATTCTCACGAAAAGATTCAATAATATTCCAAAGATCAACCACATTTACTGAGGATAAAAACAGAACAAGTGCATGTTTAGTTACCAAGTGGAAGAGGTCGCACTGTTGTTTGATGACAGGGTCAACCAGCAATAACAATGATTATTTAGCCAACTCTAAAGACCTATTAGTGGGCTACATGCAAATGTAGCCCACTAAATAAAGCTCGATGCACAACAAGTACATGCATCAGCGATCAAAAAAGCATAGTTGCTTTGGGGTTGTTTCTCAATACTGTCCTAGACTGTTTTATAGCAAATTAGGGGTGAGTATCATAAGATGATCTATGTGCTAAAGCTGGCCATAATCGACTAGTTAAGACTACCTGTTTAAGACAAGTTTATTGCAATCTGCCCCAGGAGTACAAATTGGTACCCAGTAGATGTGAATGGCAATGAGGTAGCACAACATTATTGAATGCTCCTCAAGGTGTTTTATCCAAAGACTCGGGTAATAATGCGAAGCACATTTGCATAATTCACTATATAAATCCCTGTCCAAACTATCAAATGTTATTTGAAAAAAAATATGTGACATGCCTAAATATGGTCATGATGACATCACATCATGACCTTAAATAGCCACACTATGACTATATATGGGCATACAACAGTTTTTTTTGTCAAAGAAAATTTGATAATCAGGATAGCGCTTTAGACTGATATTAATAATAAAAATGCATTTTCTAATGATTGCAAATTTCTTATTACTGCATTCAATATGTAATTACTATATATTTCATTCCCAAATTTATATATTGCATTTAATATGTAATTATATAAATTTAAGAATGAAATACTATAACAAATAACTATTTAATTTCCACTTCCAGAGTAATATATTTTGATTCAATATTTCGATCTTTTATTAGATCATCATCAGGAATGAATGAGTAATATAAAACATTAAAAACAACTAGAATATGTTTACAAATGAAATAATAGTATTACTATTCTGCTTCTTTTGTAGAGTGTGCCTCAATGCATTTTTTTTCAATCAACCAATCTGGGCAAATGGAAATGAATAAAAATGACCTTTGACCTATATTTATCCGAATGCACTGCAGTTCACATTTGTGATTATGATGAGATTTATATCTATAGTACATGCTTACAATTACACTGCTTCTGTACAAAGCGTAGCTTGCATCCTGTTCTATATGTTGCAAATTTGATGGCGTCAAAATCTTGGTTTCCTATAGAGAAAGAAACAATAAAAAGGAAATTATTAATTCTACCTCATTTGAAAAATATTACAAACTTGATTGATCTCATTACAGAAGAAATATAGTGCTTTCAGATGTTCAATAAAAAATTTAGGTAACAACTATAATCAGATATATAAAAATAATATTCATCAATGATTAATAAAAACAGGAAGCATTATTAGAACACCATGTTTACTGAAATTTATTTTTGAAAGATTCTTGAAGGAGGTAGGGGGAAAAAAGGGTAAGAAAAATTGTTTTTTTTTTCAATTAGTAAAAGGTTCTGCTAAAAGTACCTGTACATGTAGGTATGAAAAAAAAGGTATCATTGACTTATAAAGTAAAACAGGGTGCCCTTAGTCTAGCTGAAGATGATATTTTTTCATTGTAAAGAATGCACATTGTGATGATTGATAAATGATAATATAATATATTTATGTAACTTTAAGGAAGAAATACAGATTTTGTAATTGTTTCTAGAGAAATTGGAAAATAACCACGAAATGACTCTTGAAGCAAATAAATAATGAATTAAATAACATACTATACTACAGTATATGGATTTGCTTGTTATTAAATAAATTGTGAACGAATGTAAGAAACCTATTACAAATTGTATACCAAAATAGTAACACAAACACACTAAATTTACAATCAAATTCATATTGTAAAGACACATTAATATATTATGAGAGTAAAAATTAATTAATTATCATAATTTATATAATCAACCGATATTAATGACAGAACTGTGAATGGACAGGTCATGACAATTTGACATTTCTTAATGTAAATGCGTGGTAAAGAGGTTGTTAAACTGTGCTGTTCTCTAGATGCCAATTAACAAATGTCATGTATTGTTATCATTGTGGCCTCTATTGTTTTAATTCTCATCAAGAAGCGAGTGATTATTCACAAACAAAGAAGAGAACATTCACCTGAAGAAGTGCACTGTGTGCACGAAAGCTTGTGTACTGTCATAAATAAACTAGTCATAAAAGTACTGAATATCCTGAGTTTTATTTTCTATTAAAGAAGAGAACATACTACAGTAAAATGATACTTAATAAATAAAGCCTCATTTATGTGCCCTATTGTACAGCAAGGAGTAGTAGTGCTATGAAAATTATAAACCAGGACTACTTTAGTTTAACAGTATGCTTCTCATTTCATGCTTATTGTATATCTTTATAGCGTTCCAATCTCTATCATACAATATTAAGTATTTTAATGGTACAATGATCCTGGTTCCAAGAGTGAGGATTTTAACTCAACACTTCAGTTTGAAGGCGGCATCATTTTCATCATCGATCTATTTTATATTTTCATAGTAATTTAAATCATGAAAACTAAGTAATTGGAATAATGATGCTGTGTAAATTTACCTGTAAAACCATTTACACTCGATAACGACACGATAAAAATGCACTCAGTGTTGAAGAATATAACCGATGCGATTATATGTAGTCATGTTGTCATTGTGTCTAGTGTAAATGTAGCTTAAGATAGTATTTTTATAGAATATACTTCATATGCAAATATTTTTGTCTGATTTCCAAACTGTCAGAGGGCCTAAGCCTCCTGTAAGTTGTAAGAGTCTCCCAGATACTAGGACGATGGCCTGCACTCTTGGGAGCAACCAGAAATCTACCAGAAATAAGGCCTAAAAAAAATTGTTTGTTTGCCCTCCAGCACCCACCCCTAGCTCACTGCAAAATAGGGGGAGCGTTTAAAAAAATTTTTTTTTTTTTAGATTTTTTTTGTTCACAAATTTAAGGAAGTTGTCTTTATTTTTCTTCATTTTGCGCATGAAATGTTGTCGAAATTTGGTGTCTGATGTAAGGTATCGCCATTCTAGGCCTAAATTCATTACAAAATATCGATTATTCATAATTTTTATTCAGTCTGATGAATACCCCTTGAAAAATAAATAGTGAGACAGGCTTAATTGCAAGCATTGCGATTTAATATGTTAATTTTGGTAACATGAGAAAAACTAATCTAGAAAGAAAAAAAACTTTTTGCGTTCGTCCCTCCTACAATTTTCAGTTAATGGGCAAACAAACGATTATATTTTTTAGGCCTAACCCATCACCAACAAATCCATGATGCATTTTTTCTTACTGTATTGTCTTCCTAGAGTCAGTACCACATGCAGTAAATTACAATTAGATGGGTTTAAGAAAGTTAATTTAACCAGATCTTCCGGAAATGGTTTCTCCCGACTTGGGACCTCTGAATTGCCATATGAAGGCCTATTAGGATCCTGTAATTGTTTAATATATTTGTTACAGCATTACTCACAAACAGCTGGGTTTACTGTATGGAGGTATTGGTTTGATATGTGCATCTGAATTAAATACTCTGACATGCCAACCTCAGCTCTGTAAATTATGATCCAATTATTGTACTGGAACAAGGATCATTGTTAATTACGGCATTCAAATTCAGAAGATGCATACTGTAAATTCCCATACAGATTCAACTGTTTTCTAATTGTTTTTAATTGTCACTGTTTATGGTAAGCTAAGAAAACATGAACAATAAAATTCCATCTTTAATTTCGTACTTTGTTTAATTGCATACTTAAGAAATTCACAAGCTCTAATCTTTTAATTACATTTTATTTGGATGGAAATCATTTTTATAATAGTTAATGTCTGTAAATTATGGACAACTCTACATGAAATTGAAGTTGATAACTTTTAATTATGCACTGAAATTAGGAACTAATATATCCATGTTTAAACTAGGAAAAGTAATGAAATCTAATATCAAATTCCAAATTTCTGCAATGTAGCTACTTCATACTGTAATCACAAAAGAATATAAATTACAAAAACATCACCATGACGATAAGACGTGGATAAATTTGAAAAGCTTGACCAGTGGCTTTGTGAGTTTGCTGTCCACTGCTCGTAATTATACTCTACATTGAACTAAGTACCCATGCTCAGTTCTGCAATATTCTGACCAAATCCTGATGGTCAAACTGACCAGTCCAAAATATGCGGATGAATCTTGTACTATGCACAGTATATCAAATGCACTGACTAGACCAACATAATGCTAATAAGTAGCACTAACGTACCAATGAGTCTTATTAGTAATGCACTGAACTGTCCTAAATAAAGAATGCACTGACCAGCTATTGACTATCAAATGTCTAAGTACCTGTAGTATTGTATAAAAGATCGTCACACCTAAATCCGAACACTCGCTGTAACTGATGGTTGTCGGTCGACGTAATTCTGTCTAGAAAGCAACACCATGGCGAGCGTGCAACAGATAGTGAAAGATCCACAGAATCTCTAGTCACTGACTTGTCATTACAGTATATTGTATTTTGAGACAGAAAATCAATTTTTATTTAATACAAAATTATTTTATTTATTATTCAAGCAGGACACACTTGAGTTGTATTTTGTAGCATGACACCACTGATTTGTACTATGTAGCATCATATCACTGCCATGACTTATGTGCTTAAATTCTATCCAATTTGATTTTAAAATTAATAATATTGTTCTTGAAAAAGTTTCCGTTCAAAAAGATTTAGGAATATTTGTTGATTCTTCTTTAAATTTTTGTAAACATGTTGATTATGTTGTAGCTAAGAGTAACAGACTCCTTGGATTCATTTGGAGACATTGCAGACATATCGATGATGGTAATGCTTTAATTACGTTCTATAAATCCTTAGTTAGGTCTAATCTTGAGTTTTGTTCTATTATTTTTAATTCAATTTCAACTGCACAGTCTGTTAGGTTGCAACGTATTCAAAATAAATTCCGTAGGTTCTATTTTCGTAAATTTGGTAAAAGTCCTAAGTTGGCTTTACTCGAAGAGAGAAGGAATATTTTTGATCTTATTTTTCTTTACAAATGCATAAATGCCAGTTTTGACGGTGATTTCACTTCTTTTTTTCAAATACTAGTTCCTTTGCAATACAAGATCCCCTAGATTATTTTGGGTTCCACTGGGTAGGGTTAACGTTACAAAAAATGGTTTTATTTGCCGTCTTCCTAAGTTATATAATTCTATCTGTTTCAATACTTCCATAGATATATGTTTTGATAGTCTCAATTGCTTCCGTCAAAAAATTACTACTATTTATACTTCTATTACCAAGTGAATTTCTAATATTTTAAATTATTTTTAGACCTATATTTGAATTTAATGTTATATTTACTTATAAATTTTGTATGTATCAATTTTCATGTATCAATCCTGTTATGGGCGACACTGGTTGCTGTTGGATGTTGAAATAAAAAAAAACAAAAAACAATGGCTTCAATGAATTGTGCTGTAGAACCACAGCTCTATACTAAGTACTAATTGTACATAGCATGGACATTTTAACAGCACACCTCTCTAATTATACTTCATCTCACTTTATATGACATGATACTACTACAATTAGTAATTCAACAAATAATTTAGAGCACGATAAAACAAGCTCAGATCAATCATTCTAATTTCCTAAACTGAAAAAATACAATCACCTAGATCTATATTGGACTATACAAAAATATAACACAAAAAGTACAATTTATTGTTCAGGGTTATAATAATGACACCCGATTAAGGAGGTGCTTCGCCTTGCAATTACTGAGTGAACTGCTAATTTCTATGAATAACATTAATGAGAATGATCAATGCTCACGATAGAGTAGGAGGAGATCATAATGAAGATGGTACAAGTAAGTAGTGCTGGTGATCTAAGATACAATGATATTGGTGTTGCTAATGATGATAATTGTAACAATAATGATGATGATGATGATGATGATGATGAAGTTTTATTTTATTTATAAAAAAAATTGTTTTTTTATTGTATTTTTATATGAGAGTTTATATGTATTTTTGATGTTATATATTTTTTGACCAGGGCATTTTCCCTTAGTTTGGACCTTGAGTCTGTGGAACCTGTCCTTTTGCTTCATTTTTTATCTGTGTCTGATGTTTTTGTGAGGCGCAATAAAATTGAAAAAGAAAGAAAAAAAAAAATGATGATGGTAACAATAATGGTGGTGGTGATGATGATGATGACGATGATGATGATGATGATGATGATGATGATGATGATGATGATGATGATGATGATGATGATGATAGTAACAATAATGGTGGTGATGATGAATTTGGTGCTGGTGATGATGACAAGGATGACAAAACAAAATTAGAATGAACATCAATGAATGAGTATTATGATACACTAAAAAATATTATACAGTATTATGTAACTGATAATATTCAATTTCCAAAATTCTCAACAGAAAAAGTTATAGCTATCACTATTTATTAATAACATTATCATCATATATTATAAAAATTCTGGTACTCACTCATTTCTGCAAGGATATGTTTTGGTCCACTGCTTTTCCGGCTGTTCATGGTGTCGGAGGAGTAGGAACTGCTACCTTCCATACTATTATTCCGATGGATGGATCCTGCGGGAAAACAAAAGTGACATTCTCTCATTTGATACACTATGCGCCAGTACAGTACTTAAATAACAGTATAACATACACTTACTTATACACTACAGTAATTTTTAAAACTAAATATAGAGTGTAGTATAATTCAGTATATTGCTAAAAATGTGTAGTAAGCATAGCAAAGTTAAAGTATGTATGCTACATGAAAATTAACAACCTTGATTCAAGATTCAAAAATGCAATCCATGACTGGACAGAACATGATGCATGACACAAATGTTTCTCATATATTTTGCTAAATATCCTGAATTATAATACTAAATCATTCAAATTTAAAGGATTCAATCCAAACATAATTTTTGTGCTGATACAGTATTATTACACGTTCAGTTAGCATGAAGGTGGGATATTGAGTCTATATTTTTGGTTCATGCTTACAATATAGAAAATACAGAAATTATGGATAGTATGGTCTGAAAAAAAATTGAGTAGATTGATGATATACATACACTGGGTATGTTAAGACACTTAATCTCTTTTGTCTCTCTCCTTCTTGGAGTATGGGTACAAACCTGGTAGGAAGTGAATTATATTGTTTAGGAATCTCTCCAAGGAGAATAGATAACATGCTGCATGTGACTGATTTTATATTCAATGCCCATGTAGAAAATGGCACACTGAAAAAGATCAAGGGTATAGAATAAATCCCAAAAAATTAGAATGTCTAGAATTAATATAATCAATTATAAATATAATATAAAGTCTTTTACATATAATATGGGATCATAGTGCAAATGCAATGTCAAATGGGTTTTTACCTATTCTCACTTATTTAATTTGTATTCAATAAAATTGTACAGTATCTACAGTATACAAGGTTGAAAAACCTTGATTTCAAAAAACACAATTGTAATAATGCAGTGTTCATCAATCACTATTAGCAATGAACAGTAAAAATATAATCCGAATAACTGAAGATTATAATCCATCCAACGAAAAACCTGCGTATCATCCAAAAATGCATTTACTGCAAGACAGAAGGCCTACCTTAATATCAAAATGGACGTCTATATAACATAAAAATTAACTATTCCTCAATCGTAAACTGAAATATTTCACATGCAAAGATTAAACATTTTAAGAAATGCTATGGCTGTTTCAACCACAGTGATCTGGCCTATTTCTTTGTTGTAAACATAAGACTGTCAGCGTGTAATTTAGGTGGATGAGGATTTGCTTATTTCCTATTCATTAGCAAAAGATTAATATGATATTACATCCTTTCTCTTCAGGATGTAGCTATGGTTGCCATGGTGATAGTTAATTAGTTCCATCAAGTCACATGACCATGCATGTGATTAATCAATGGCCCAATGACATTTTGATGTGACACAAAAAAAAGGGAGGGAGAAATTTAAAAAAATGGTGAGTAATCTTACTGAAGCCCTTTACATGATGGCATCCAAAGGCAAAAGAAAATAATTTGAATAGGATCCAAGGATGATAGGTGGGCCTCATATATTGTTGCATGTCACAAACTATCAAAAGCTACGATTTCAAATACTGTACACATGAAGCAACAAGAAACCCCTTTAATCAACTGAATATTTAAGTAAATATCTGGTAGGGGATCAAAATAGGATATTCTATTGGTGACGATATCAATATCTGAGTTGGTCCCTTGGTTGGGGGATGATATCGTAGTAGTGCTAGTACGCTACTGGCTCGAGTACTTGTGTGCTATTGTATGTAGTAGGTCCACTGTGGGATGATGCTATTTAGTGTGGGCTTGTTGGGGAATGGTATCCAATACCACACATGTATGTAAATTGAAACTTAGTACCTAAAGGCAACTCTATTGGAATTTGGCCTCTGTTGCGGAATGGCAACATTGAGTCTTTATGGTGAATTTACTAATTTTTGAAAGAGAAAATTAATCACTATATTTACCGAAATTGTAAGGTATTTTATACTTTAAATCAACAGTTTGATGGATTATACAATCGAACAATTAATCTTTTTTGTATCTTGCAACAACCTGGCATTGCATTTTCATCATGTTCTTCATTTTTAAATACATTTTATTGGAATAAATAACAAAAATAGGTTGGGAACTACATTTTAGCAGAAAAAAAATCTGTATTTTTTAATTTCTGGTTTATGATTTCAACCATTCAAATTGCAATAAGTATGTGCAGTATTAAGATATGTGGCAATTATTTTTGATACAACTGTTGTGGTATATTACAGGCTTGCAACTAGGAGAGGAGGGTTGAACCTGGTTCTCTGAAATCCCCTTTTAAACAAACTCACTCTGAAAAACCAAACCATTCCCTTCATTTACTGCCAACAAATAAGATAAAATTCAAAATGTACATAACAGAATGCTTTAGCTTCAAGACTCCAACAATGACCCCACAAGATTTTTTTTGTTGGACCTTATCAGATACCCTATGTACTCATAGGCCTCTGTCTGAAAGTTAGAGGAAATCCCCATTAAGAAATCCTGATTAGGGGCCTTTCACATCAACATATTAAAGTGCGTATTGTATGTACAGTCAATATAAACTGTGAGTGAATGTGCACTCATGCATAATGCAAGTTCAATGATTATCTCAAAACATAACATAATCAAGAAATGGTGATGACAAACACATTGCTCATGTTAGTTATTCAAATATCCTGAGTCATCAAAAGAAAATTAGATGAATACACACTTTGGAGCCATTTTGTTAGATTTATTATTCTGCCACTTTGTCCTTAACTTTAACAGATGACACAATTTATTCATCTTGCGTTGCGGAATACGTTAATTTCAGGATTTTACGTGCTCGACGTACATTAGTCACAGGTTTGCGCATGCGTATTTCGATTTGTTTACAAAAAGGGGTGGAGTTATCGCGTAAAATTAAGGTTAACGTCGTGCAGCGAAAACTACCTATTAAGACAACCTCCCCTGAATCATTTTACACAGTATTACTGCTAGTTCTGGCAGCCTCTTTGGTTTGCTTTAGTTCTATTATACAACATGCATCTTTCGTTTTAAAGATCATATAGATTAGAATTAAGATAGAAGGGTGTACAGCCTCCAAATACAAGTCCTGGGTCTGCAATTAACCTTATTCTACCAGCTTTAAGTCGCCTGAGTATCCCGGAATTGGGACGGCCTCCCGCACTCCTGAAAGCAAGCAAGAATCTCCCAGAAGGTAACAAATCTTCCGCAAATACATTTGCATATTTTTACTACTTTATATCACTTATTGCACAGAAGTCAGTGCCGATGGGTACCACTACACGTAGCAAAATAAGATTACTATGTTGAGACAAGGAGGTATACCTCCTTGGTTGAGAAATTTCTTCTAACTTAAAATTGCTGCAACATTTATCCAAAAACTGCATCAATCATGCCAGACCCTGTATCCACCCCCGATACTGTCCAATCAACCATAGTAGGACTTGTTCTTCAACAACCACAGTTCATGTGGCAATAATATAGCTAATTACAGCAGAAAAATTATCATTATGACCTGGATTTACTGAGAAATATAACAATGGAAGTAAAATAATGTTTCTTATTTTTGGATTAATTAAAAAATACTACTCTAGATAACACAAAACATGTCATCACGTTTGCACAGGTAACTCCAAAGCAAACACTTGCTACAAATGGTGTATGTATTGGCATATTAGTTGTGAAGAAGCCTGCAGGTACGTAAGGAATGTACTATATAATTAATACACCCAGGTATTATTTATAGGTCAAGACAGCCACAGAATACTTAAGCAGCACTGTAGCAAAATGTTTGGTCTTCTTTAGGCCGAGTCTTATTCCTGCGCTTATCATTAGCACGTTGCTTTCCATCTAGGAGTGTACAGTGAATGGTAGTTTTCATTGCCAATTTGCTGATTAGCTGCAACAATACTCCCCAAAGAGTTTAACCATAAGCATTGTTTTCCATGACCAAGGTAACTGAAATTTGCATAGAAGCCTCATTACGAAGCGCTACATACAGGTACTTACTACGGGCTTCTCTTTGGGAGGTGGGTTTTTGCCAAAAAGAAGCTCATCCTAGATTTTTTAGATTTAAGGTCAGTTTGGCATTACTGTATCTAAATTGTTATCTTTATCATTATCAATACTATTATTTCTTCCTTTCAGTCTAACGAGCCAGAAGGCAAAACTGACTTATCTGAGCTCTTCTAAGGTACTATACCATATTGTAGTGATAAATCAGTATGCTTTATTGAACCCAGAAATTACATGTTAACAAATTTAATATAACAATAATAATTTGTTGCCAGCTTCAGCTACAGTATGATCTTGCATGTTACCTGAGAGTGGATTACAGACGAACCCAAATCACAGGCTATGAACTTAGCTTGAAGCTATCTAAATTATAGCAAAGCTCTTAGGTTGAAGCAAGTTGCCGTAAGATTTCAAATGATTGATATGCATTCAGCACAACTTCCCCTCAGTTGCAGCTTCACTGTTGAACTCAAGTCCTGTCTACTGATATTAAGGATCTCTAGGTTAGAGCATTTTAAGTAGGCGGCAACAGAGTAAGAAGTACCTACTACCTGGCTGCAACATCTCTTCAGTGGCAGTGAAGTATCTAGGAGTCTTGAAATTGGGGGGAGGGGCTGAAGAGGGGTGCAAAAGCGAATTGGGGGATCGATGATTAGGTGGGGGGAGTGCTAATTTGCAAAATAAGGTGATTTGCGGGGATTTTTAACTAACTGATGGGAGTGGGAGTATTTTGGGGGAGGCATGCCTTCCTCCTCCTGTGCACCACCTAGATACACCACTGTTCAATGGTCATAACCTCCCCTATCCTTATACTTCCTTGGATGAAACGTAATTCAGTTCAGACAAACTTCTATTTATAGTTGATCAAAGACAATTCACCCAATCTGTCTATAGGCCTAGTGTCAACGACGGTTTTTGAGGTCTTATATCATAAAAAAAATCTAATTTTACTTACTATTTCTGTAAGATAGAATTTTAATAGTAA